CCCGCCCCCCTTCCCCACTTAAATAAAATTATGCAAATAAAAACGGCAAAATTCATTATTTAAAAGTATCTATGAATTTGTACCTATGGTGGATAAAGGAACTGATTACTTAACACAAATTATAATTGTCTTACACCATATATCTTTGTAACCTGATGTCGCAAACTTTTGAAATTTCAATCCAGAATTTTGTTTGATCAAAAACCGTAAACTTGAAATTTGAAAAATCTCCCCCCCCCCCCCAAGGTTGCAAACAGAGCTTGGATAATAATAATTATTTTCAGATTATTATACATGAATAAATAATAATACATATTAAGTGACGTCATGACATGGTACACTAGATTACAAAATATTCTAAATCTTCTTGTTTAAGTTTAGAAAACGAGATTGCCTAGTGTCCCATCAAAAAGAAAAGTTTTCTAAGCCAAGCATCAATCTGGAATATGTGAAAAATTGAAAATTATGAATTATTGGATATTTGCTACAAAAATTGTACATCTCAGATTACAAAATAGTCATGATTTTAAATTAAAAAGCTAAAAGATTATTTTAGATGAAATTAAATTATTGTTACAATGCTCCAATAAGTCCATGTGTATATCATGTTGCATTAACTAAATTGTCTTACCAATAGCTTAAAAATTTAAATATATTTAGAAAATGAAAATAGTGACCTTATAAACAACTATTTTAAACACATTTCACTCAAAATGATCCTGGATGATAAAAGCATATTTGAAAACTGAAAATCCCCTAAATTAAAAACTACAAATCCGTAAACTCAAATCTAACTTTTAACCGTAATCCTGCTAGTGGGGGGGGGGGGCAATTTTTATACATAACTCAAAAAGTATTGGTCTAAGGCTGTTAAAATTTTCTGACTTTTCCTAAATACCCAAAGCCCTCCCTTTAGGCCGGCTAAAACCGGGATTTTATACTAACTGCCTGAATCCTCAGGCACACTGTCTGAATGACTACTTTTTCTTGTAGCAAACTAACGCTTTGTTTTGACCCATTTTCAATTGTAAGATTTGCATAATTTTTAGCTTTTTGGAAAGCCTATGGCATAAGGAAATATATTTTTGGTTTTTCTTGATTACACACTAGGTTATTTAAAATTTTGCAAACTATTTTGCATATTTGAAATGGCATGGTCTAGTGCTTTACAAAAATGTATATTTCATCATTTTTTTGCACATTTTTCTTCAAAAATTTTTACTATATAACTTTATTTTGCAACAAAATCTCAATTATTGCAAATTTGCATTTTTTTTGCAGATTCTAAAAGTATAGCACAAGAGGTTTCCAAAGATGTATCATTTGTCATATTTGGACATCAAACCTGGCTATAAACTACCCCAGCAGAAATAGCATTCTAAAGTTTTCAGCTCTGTTTACTGAAGTGAGGTGGGTTTTTATTTTGTGGGGGAGAGGGGTGAAAGAGGGTTTGTTATTTAAATATTTGATATAATTTAAATAATAGTTTAAGAACAAAATCTATGCTTCATATTTTTAACAAAAATTGGATAAATTACCAAAAATAATCAACTTTGTCAGATAAAATATGATCTCTAATTGTTTATCTTAGGTTACAAATTAGCTTTAATTTGAATAATTTCAAATTATGAAGCTCACGTTATATGTAAAATTGAAATATAACCTTTCTTCTAAATAATTTTTGGATCCATTCCTTATTCATAGCGCAATTAAATTAAATTAGGTTTTCTTTCAAGTGGTTTTTATTTTTGTTCAGTATATTTATTATTTTTTTCTGTTACCCCATAAGAAATTACAAGGCAAAAATGATCGTTTTTGGTTTGTTTTTGCCTAATATTTTCCCCTAGGATAACAAATTTGCATATTTGATAATTCATTGTTGTAACACCTTTCAAAAGTCTAAAAATATTTAAAGTTTCTGTAAAACAAATCTAGCTATTGCCCATCGCTTTTTCTGACTGAAATACAAACTTAAATTGTTATTTTGGTTATCAATTTAAAAACCATTTCCTTTGAAACTCCGTTTTAATCTAAATATGTTTCGAAGCTTTTATTTTCTTTTAGAAGTATTTAAATATTTCTATCTAAATGGTTAATGTCAATGTTGGGGGTCATGTAGGATCAGATATAAGGTAATTTAAACCATTTTTTCAAAATTAATTTTCTAAACCTTTTTTAAAATTAAATCTTTCCCCTAGATCTCCAGAGGCCGAATTTAAAGAATTTAAGTCGCGGCTTAAATCCGCCAAAACCCGGTTTAAATTGAGCGCCGGCTTAAATCTTGAAACATTTGGTACAATTTTAAGTGAAACCAATCATAATTAAGCCGCGGCTTAAATTTAAACCACGGCTCAAATTCTTAAAATTCGGCCACTGATATTTTAATTATTTACTTTTTTTCTAATTTCATATTTCAATAAGTCTCGCACGTAAGAAGAACATTGAAATCTGAAAATCCGCGAAATTAAAAACTGAAAATCCGCGAAACTCAAATATTTAACCATAAAAAAAAACAATAGTTTACAAACTAAACCAAAGATGTCGCTAGTATGCAATCAAAGTTAACTCAATAATCGACTTACTGACATCAATATGAACTCGATACTTAATTTAATTATTTAAGATGGGATTTTTACAAAAAACTTGAACAATTAAATCTAAATAAAGTATTTTCTTGCTTATTCATTATGCGTGTAAATATCATTTATTTAAACCAAATCCATTCTTCATTTAATTTGCCAGGCTTACAATTATCCAATTTATGTATATAATCTTACTACTGAGTTTTATCAGTCATTAAATTATGTTTTTGATTAAAATTATCAATGCAACATCAAGAAAAATAATGTCTAAATAATAATAAAAATTAATTCTAGTGCGGAATCAATTAATTGGTTTGAAGTTCAATACCCATTCTAATTTTCTCTTACCCTGGAACAACATTTTAATTTTAGAAAATTTCGAAATATATGACTTGCCATTGGTTGAGTGTCACATCTGATTCACAAGGGTCCCCTGAAGTATTATCTGATCCATGTTTATCTTCAATTGCATGGGTTCTCTCCAAAACTGAATTGTGCGTATCTGTTGCAGATACAATTGAGGAAACCGTCAGAGCCAAACACATATTTTAAGCTGATAAAACGACGATACCTCTGTGGTTCGGACATGCCCCTCGTATTCTCTCATTTTTTCTCTATGAAATTCAAGGAAAATTGGCTCCGAAATAACACATAATTATTCTTTTCTATTGTTCAACCTTAACTTGAAATACGATATTGAGCATTAGTTTATTTTACACTTGTAACAGTACAGAATAAAGTACATTAATTATTTTACACTTGTAAGTGTAACAGTACAGAGTACAATTACATTAGTTTATTTTACACTTGTAAAAGTGCAGAGAAAAGTACATTATTTTTATTTTACACTTGCAGCAGTACATAGTCAAGTACATAAGTTTATTTTACACTTGTAATAGAACATAGAAATAAGTACATACGTTAAATCACGAGTACATACATCTATATGTATACAATCGGGTCCAAATTTCTTGTGGTACCTCGCGTGACCACATGGAACATTTATGAATGACCAAAATCAAAAAAAATGTGCTAAAAGTTTTTATTTTTGTAAATTTTGAAAATTTTGAAAATTCGTTGTCTGTTTTTAAACCCGCGATTTTATTTTTTACAATTCACAAAAAGAGAACATGTTCACAATTGGAATAGAAGATGGGCGCGAAGCGCCCTAAAAGCATAATACATTCTATGTATAGAACAATCTTAAGTAAGAAATAAAAACAAATTTGAGATTTTAAAATCTATATTTTAATTTATATAATATTATTCTTCATGCATGCCATATAATTAATTATATTTGTCTAGAACCCCCTTCCCCCTTTTAGCTTTCTTTACGTTTTTTATTTAGAAATTTTGGCACAGTTTTCAAATTCTGTAGGTAAAGCTTAAATTATAAAGTTTTCAAGTCAAGCTAAAGTAAATTTCACGTAATATTGAAATCTACATATTTTCAATCTTAACTCCCCTTATTGAAGAGCTTTTGAGAAGAAGAAAAATGTTTTGATTTTCTAATATATAACTGGATAAACCTGCTTTTCTCTTGCACAGGAGCTACGAGGTCACACAGTTGTGCCAGTGATGTCTCCTGCTGTCCAGTTCAGTGACAGAATATAGATTTTAGATTTCAAGATTTATAAGATTTAAAAATCATATTTAGTTTACAACAAAACATGTTAAAAATTTCCAGTATTTTTTTACACTTTTTTAGAACAATACATAGAGTTGAATAATTTACAGGGCTTTGAAACATTAATATATTTTACATTTATTCGGCTTAATTTAAACATATATGATTGCTTCTAAATTTCAGGATTTACTCAGAATATGAATTTATTCTTGAAGAATTATTTTCACTATCGATGCATTTAAATTTTCCAATTATGTTTACATTTATTAAAACATCTTTTATCACTGCTTTCGTTTTTGTTATTTTTTAACATCAATTAAACAGAAAAATATATCTAGATACATAAAATTGAATTTTTATTTACAATATTAATTTTTTAGAGAAGTAGCTTTTCTTATATAATGATAAGATTTTCTTATATAATGATAAGATTTTCTTATATAATGATAAGATTTTCTTATATAATGATAAGATTTTCTTACATAATGATAAGATTTTCTTATATAATGATAAGATTTTTTGTTTCACATAATAAGGTCAAATTTGAGATTCAGACAAAAATACAGAGGTCAAAAAAATAAAGTGGAATAAGTTCAGTCGCTGAAATTTTCAAGTTGAAATTAAAGTTTTTTGTTGTTATTAATAAAAAATTACTAAGTTTTGTTTACTTGTGCTTTCATAGAAACCTCACATATGGATGACAAATAAGAAAACATTTAACTTTTAAAATATTCCAGCTTTTGTTGTCAATGTTCAATTTATCATGAACACGACTAAAATGTTTTTAACTTGTTCAATGAGCATTCTCATGCATTATTCATGCCTCAACTCTGATTTGGATAATGTTGTCTAAACTTGTTCAACTTTACTGAGGACATTATTAGAATTGTTGTCTGTTCCATCTGGAGAATGTTGTCTAAACTTGTTCAACTTTACTGAGGACAATATTAGAACTGTTGTCTGTTCCATCTGGGGAATGTTGTCTGTCTAAACTACCACCTTCAGATTCACCCAAACTCTGAAAAAAAATAATACAAAATGGTGTTGTACAGGGTGTCCCAATAAACATGGGAATTCAGTGATGAATTTGATATCGTCTTTTCAAATAATTCTTTGATTTAGTATAGTGATACCTACTGAGAAAGCTGTAATCTGTAAGAGTTTCGTCTGCTATGTTCAAAATTTGTTTGTTTATGTTTTGACTACATACAGTTGTACTTAGTAAAATAAGAAAATTGCAGTATACAAACGAGTAAACTTGTCCGTCTTCCCTGTTCATCTTGCGGAGACATTATAGACACATCTTTACAGTCTTTTTCCCTTTTCATAAAATAAACTCTAGCAGACATAATAATATTATGGCTTTTGAAATTAGGTATTACAATGCTAATTCATAACAAAGACGATATCAAATTCGTCACTGAATTCCCATGTTTTTTGGGACACCCTGTATATGTCCTTACTATTAGACCTCAAGAAAAGGACAAAATACATTGACAGTGTACTCTTTTAATTCAGATAATGTTGAATGTTGATAAATATGAGGGACATGCATTATAGAGTTCCCCATTCCCACCAAGTTTGTATACACGCGACAGTTAAATAGATACTTTAGATACGCTTCAATGTAGGTAAATGTCGTCTTTTTTTGCAATGGCCACTCTACATTCCACTGACACGTAACTAAAAATCATCACATTTAACAAATATTGATTGAGCTAACCAGTTCGACGCTAAAAATGCAATTTTAATTCAAGTTTTTAATTTTGGAGTTTGTTTATATCAAGAAAGCCGAAAAATTTACTATTCTTAAAAAACACTTAGCAATGAGTAATGGCATTATAATAAAAGTCGTCTTAACCTATATTGGATCGCATTCAGAGTATCTAACCTTATTTTACAACCTTGATTTCCAAAGAGGTAATTAGTAAACAGTTGAATTCTATTCGTCTTTTGGCATGTTGCTCAGGATATTGTAGTTTGTGAATATTTTAACTGTTTTTAAAGTGTTCTGAGCTGAAACTTTAGAATGGGATATCCTTAATCCCGATCGGTTAATTAATATGGAGATTAATAACAAGAGGAGAACAAGCATTTTTTAATCTGGAGATTAAGAAAGAGAGGAGAACAAGTATTGATCTTGATAATCACCATTCTAAAGTTTTCAGCTCAGAACGTAGTTTTAAAAACTACTTTATTTCCCCTGTACGGTTGCTGTTTACTTCTTTAGTGTTTTTATAATTCTGTCAAATTTATTTTTTATCAAACTAAATTCCACTAAACCATATTAAACTGGGACAGCAAGGGAATTTTTGAGGTATTTTACAAAATTTCAAATTCAGATAATTAACTTTTATGTTCTATTAACTCTATGCTGAAATGAGAAAAGTTAAAAAGTGAAATATCATGATAAATAAATTTATAAACTTTAATAAAGTAAAAAGCTACTGGAATTAAAAAGTAAGTTTCCCAAAACCTTGATAATTAACTTATAATTAGAAACCACTTAAATCTTTAGAAATTTAATTTCCAATATTTTCATGGAGTTTGTTGGAGAGAGTTAGATATTTAAAGAATTAGAAAAACTTATTTTTTCTCACAAACTACATTATTTTCTTGTAAAGAGCGAAACTCCTCAATAGTTTATTAATTTATCAGTTTTGGTTTTAAACTCAATATAAATCTATGCCCGAAGCTTTAACATTTTTAAAATTTCAAAACCAAAAGAATTATTTTTTGTTTTTATTTTAAAGAGAACCACTGAAGGAGAGACAATCTTGAAAAAAAAAATAGATTTTATGTTTAAAAATAATCATGTATAAAAAATTTTACCTTGGGATGCCGCGTAGAATGTTTCCTGTTAAAGAAGCCAACTGGTGGCCTAACAGGGCTTTTCAGAGACCGGAAAGATCTCTAAATATATAAAAACAAAATTTTTTTCATCCCCCTAATGTTTTGTAATCACTTAGTTTCCAAACCAGTTTTAATCAATTATACTTAGCTATGGCGTACTTTCATTTCATATTCGTCATAGCAGTTTCATAAGGCTTGAAAGAAATTGTGTCTTTGCCACAAACTCAAATATTCTAATACCTTTATTTTTACAATCTTATGATACAAACCTGAATTTATAGTTTGAAATATCTAAGATATATGACATTGGGTTATAAAGATATATTTGAATTAGAAAAGAGAAATTTTGGCAAAGACTCAATTTCTTAATCACATTTCATTTTACTTTATATTTTACCTTTTTCATAAGAGAGCAGCCAGCTTTTTCATCCTGTTTACATTTAAACGTTTCTACAGTTAGTTCTAGACCCTGAGCTTCCAGGGTTCCAACCTTTATAATATCGAAATATTAAAAATGAAAAAATTGGCAGATATTTTGTTTCCATTGGTGGATTTTTAATTCGTCATTAATCGAATTTTTCATTGATTTATCAATTTAGGAGTAAACCTGAACCCGTGATTTTAAAACTTCGGCTCGAGTCCTAATTAGACCCTGGTTTAAGACTCAATCTTAGACCTATCTTATGAATCAGCTGACTACAGCTTGTGTCATGCAATTTACAGATGCCAGCTCTTAGAGTCAACTATGGGAGTTAGGCCCATTAAAAATAAAACCGACATTGGTTGGTGTTATTGGAGAATTAGTCTCAATGTTGAGTCTGATTCGAATCAAATCCACCAATTTAACTGGTAAAATAAAACCCAACTCTGTGGAAAACTAATTGGAATTTAACCCTATTCCTGCATATTCCTGAGCAGTCCCTTTAATACATATATTTACCTCTACATCCTACAATATTCCTGAGCAGTCCCTTTAAAATATATATTTACCTCTACATCCTACATTATTCCTGAGCAGTCCCTTTAAAATATATATTTACCTCTACATCCTACATTATTCCTGAGCAGTCCCTTTAATACATACATATGTGGCGGACAAGTCGTCCTACTTTCCGCCGTAATCTCTGCAACTAGTTCCCTGATCTAAACTCATGTGATATATAAAAAGAGTCGCCATTTTTGATATAGTTTTCTTTGTACTTTTTATAAGAAAATATAGTTAGTTGATTTTCAGACTTTTGTCTTTTATTTAGCCACTGCTAAATCTGGTGACCCTGATGTGATATACTCCTTTACGTTTTTTTTTTCTCTATTAAAAGGACTTTTTTCTTTCTCACCGCACTCTTTTCTGAAGTGAGCCGGGCTCCCTGTTTTCATCACAGTCCACTCCTTAAGTGAGATTAGAAACGGTGATAGACTCTTTGGTGTGTTAGCCAACGAATATGGCCACCCATTCCAGTGAAGTGTTGCCAAGTGTCGGAGCTGTTCCTCCGCCCTCAGGGTCCAAATACAGATACATCCGCCTCAGCTCCGCCTCGAGTTGTCAGGAAGGTTCGTTTTCAAGCTCAGCCTGCAGTTCCTGTTCGCAGGAATCCTCATAGAACAGCAAGGAGTTATTCAAGAAACCTCGCCTCCGCCTTCAGTCTCTCCGCCTTGGTTTCTGGGGGGAGTCCTGTGGCGGACAAGTCGTCATACTTTCTGCCGTAATATCTGCAACTAGTTCCCTGATCTAAACTCATGTGATATATAAAAAGACTTGCCATTTTTGATATAGTTTTCTTTGTACTTTTTATACGAAGATATAGTTAGTTGATTTTCAGACTTTTGTCTTTTATTTAGCCGCCGCTAAACATATATTTGCCTCTACATCCTACATAATTCCTGAGCAGTCCCTTTAAATTATGTATTTACCTCTACATCTTCTACAGGTTGTTCAATGGTGTCATGATCTATCCAAGTTAGACCCATCTCAACCTTCTCAGCCAAATCTATCCATTTCTCCCTACAAACAAATATCCATGTTAAACCCATATCCACCTTCTCAGCCAAATCAATTCATTTCTCCCTACAAACAAATATCCATGTTAAACCCATATCCACCTTCTCAGCGAAATCTATCCATTTCTCCCTACAAACAAATATCCATGTTAAACCCATATCCACCTTTTCAGCCAAATCTATCCATTTCTCCCTACAATCTAATATTCATGTTAAACCCATATCCACCTTCTTAGCCAAATCTATCCATTTCTCCTGACAAACAAAAAGATCTGATTACTCATTACAAATTCTCTAATTCTTATTCTTATATCCTTGTCATTTTATAGTTTGAATATTCAAAATAAAAATTATTGGATCTAACAGAGCTGGAAACTTTAGAATAGGATTCCTTTAATCTCGACTTCTTAATCGAAATATCCAATGTGGACACATTTAATTTCTTTCTTAATCCACTGTTTTCTGGATATAGTATAGAAAAATCAAAAATCGGTTTTTTAAAATTAGAGAGTCCCTCCAGTTTCAGTATATTCATCTTAAATGGCGCGCAAAATTTACAATTTCCCGGCTTCTGATACGCAGCTCTGATTTCTTGATTTTTAATTCACTTTCAGGATACAAGTACAATTGATTAGATTTGTCTCGAGATTAAGAAAAATAGAGGATTAAGCATTGATCTTCATACCCACCATTCTAAAGTTCCCAGCTCAGAATTTATATTTTGAAAAATTAAAGGTCTATTACGTCTAATTTCAAATGCCTAGGCAGTAGGCATGTGTAATAAACCAAAAAAGTGTTAGGCGAGTTATAAGTTCCTTATTTGTTGTTATTGACATTTTGAAAATACAAATTTTAACTTGATTTCAACTTGATACGTGAAATAGTTTTCTAAAACTAAATTAAAACGATATCTAAATTCTTTGTCTTTATTAGATTTTGCAAATTATTTAGCAGAGCTATTTTCGAACGGTTTTGCAAAATCATTCATTCTGAATTGCAAATAGAAGTTTCACAATTGGAAAATTGATTTTATTGAGAGATATAAAATTTTAATTTTTAATGGGTAATGGAGGATCGGTGGAAGAAGATTATTTTTTACCTATTTTTTAAAGCACCCTCTAACAAAGGCCGAATCCAGGGAAAACTAGAAAAAATTAGTTACGTAAAAATGTAATAAAATCTATAATATTTAAAGTTGTAATCTTTGTTTGTCTGTCTGTTTGTTTATCCGATCATAACTCAGAAACCCCTGGACCGATTTGCCTCAAATTTTGATTGGGGAACTCGGGAAAGCCACGGGAATGTTCTAAGCTTGGCATTGAGATTCTAAGTTGAGTGGGTCCACTTTTCACGGTAAAAATATATAAAATCGTAATTTACGACAAAGGGCGGGTAATTGGTGGGACTAAATATGACTCCCCTGGGCCACGCTGGCTTCCCAAGTTGAGTTAAGTTGGTCGACTTTTATAGGAAAAACTTAGTTTCCCGGTGAAACCGACCAGGTGCGGGTAAACGGCGGGAGTAACTAGAGAACTCTGGGCAACTCTGGGTTTCCAAGCTAGTACAATATACATCTACATATATAAAATAGTAATCTATATTTGTTTGTTCAAATGCCCGATCATAACTCATGAACCCCGGGACTGATTTTCCTCAAATTTTATTGGGAACTCAAGTGAACCACGGGAATGTTCTTAGCTATTTTTGAGATTCTAAATTGAGTGGGTAGACTGTTATAAGGAAAAATAGCTAAAGTCATAATTTACGACCAACCAAACAGCGAAAATAACAATTAGTAATCTGGGCAACGCTGGGTTCCCAGGCTATTTCAGCATATTAAATAAGTTATGTGTACATTGTATTTGCTTGCTGTAATATTTTGTCTAGTTTATTTTCTTGAAAATAGAAATGTCTTCCCCAGAATCATTATTTAGCTGTTTCAACAATAATAAAAACTTGGAATTCAAAACTTCAAAAGATTTGTGCCAACTTAATCTCTTGTACAGTATATCTCATAAATACAAATACAAGTCCAAGTCTATTTATGATCAATAGCGTCTGACATTAAGAGGTTTTATAAATTAAGTCAGCAATTAATAAACATTTTTGAAGTGTATTCGTATTCAAAATTCTACCGAATAAGATAAGAAAATAATTGTACTTAATATTAAAAAATTAACCAAAATATCAGTAAAATCCGCAAAAAAAAATTTATTTTTGTCCAACCTGTCAGAAAGACTAGTGTACAGAGGAACACAAATTTGATCAATAAATTCAACTTGCATTTGGGGAAGTTCATCTTTACGCTCTCTATCCATCATTGCCTAAACACAAGGGGAAATAATTTACAAATCAGAGAGCCAAAAAAGTCGGATTTAAGTTAGAAAAAAAATCAAGATTTTTCCGTCCTATTCTGCTCTGAAAAATGTGCACACATGAACATTATTTTCATCAATAAAAAAGCTCAATTATATGTTTCAAAGAATTATTCTTTTTTAGTCGCAGACAATATGCATGGGGTCTGTCCTAGAAAACGCTTTTTGTACATGAACAATATTATTTTTTAACAAAATTAAAAATATTTATCCTGTTTTACTTTAGCACTGTGGGTAGAAAAGACTTGGGGAGGGGGGGGGGGGGCAAACAATCATTCCCTAAGAAATTACCCAATGTTATGCAATAAAATATATTTCACAGTGGGACCCAAACTACTGTGGTAAGGGAAGACGACAATTGATTTTAAATAGTAAAATGATTATAAAACACAGCATACAGTGTATGCCATGCATTAACATACACATTCTACGAAAATTTAAAAACGTTATTATCAAAGGCACAGAAAAATTGTTTAAAATGTCGTCTTTATACTTCAGAGGTTTATGGGTCCCGCTGTATTAAATCTTACTATCGGTGTAATATTTAGCTTCAGCTTTTCCATATCTCCTTGATCGAAAAATTCATCTGCCACCAGCTTTGCCAACTTAATTAAAACAAACATATCACTTTTTATCACAGATAATTGGAAAATCAACAATAAAAGAATCATAATAATGAGAGTAAAATAACAAAACAAAACAAAAATTAAGGAAAATAATAATAATTATAGGAATAATAATAACAAGCAGAATAATAATAACATGGCATGAATAATAATAATTTTAATAATGATAATTATAATAATAATAATAAAAATAATAATGATAATAAACTAACTTTATGCTGTATCTCCCAAGGTTTGGCAATGGACGCAACATCAGCTGCAGTCATTAGCATACTGCACAGTAACTTCTTCTTATCCTCAGACTTTTAAACAAAATTAGAATATAAACAAAACCAAACTGAACCACACCAACTTTAACCAACCCAAATTAAACCAAACCAAATTAAACCAAACCAAATTAAGCAATGTTAAGCCAAACGGAACCAAATCAAACCAAACCAAACTAAACCACGCGAAATTTAACCAAACCAAATATTAAAACAAACCAAATTGAACAATGTTAAACCGAACCAAATTAAACCATGTTAAACCAAACCAAACCAAAATGAACCACAGAAACTTTAACCAAACCAAATTAAACAATGTTAAACCAAACCAAATTTAACATATTTAAATCAGACCAAATTAAACACTATTAACCCCGCATACCGAAACATAGAAAACTAAACATACTGCACCTAAACATGCAAACCAAACCAAACTAAACCAAAAACGATAACCAAACCAAATTAAACAGGTGCAAACTAAACCGTCTAAAAATACAACTACTACCTGCCAATCTATTTCCCCTGCGTCAGCTGTTGAAAGAAAACGTTCCCTCTTCTCGAAGTAGCTTGCTAGATCTGTAGACAATATTGCCATCTCCACTATCTTCATCACCTAGATACATAAACAGTACAGTAGCTTGCTAGATCTGTAGACAATATTACCATCTTCACTATCTTCATCACCTAGATACATAAATAGTACAGTACAGTACACTAGTAGCTTGCTAGATCTGTAGACAATATTACCATCTCCACTATCTTCATCACCTAGATACATAAACAGTACAGTACAGTACACTAGTAGCTTGCTAGATCTGTAGACAATATTACCATCTTCACTATCTTCATCACCTAGATACATAAATAGTACAGTACAGTACACTAGTAGCTTGCTAGATCTGTAGACAATATTGCCATCTCCACTATCTTCATCACCTAGATACATAAACAGTACATTACAGTACACTAGTAGCTTGCTAGATCTGTAGACAATATTGCCATCTCCACTATCTTCATCACCTAGATACATAAACAGTACAGTACAGTACACTAGTAGCTTGCTAGATCTGTAGACAATATTGCCATCTCCACTATCTCCATCACCTAGATACATAAACAGTACAGTACAGTACACTAGTAGCTTGCTAGATCTGTAGACAATATTGCCATCTTCACTACCATCATAGCCTAGATACATAAATATTGCTGCAAAATGTTTTCAATTTTCATTTTAAACTTTTACAAAAAGAAAAAGTTAAGATTTAATAAAGATATTTGAAAATGGTGAACTTTGAAGTTGACTTCAATTATTAGTTCATTTTCTGTTTTGAACTTTATAAAAGTTAAAATTTCAAATTTAGAATTATTATAGGCGGAAAGAAAATAAAATAATAAAAGTAATAATAATAATGATAATAAACAGATAGGACACTAGATACATTTAGATAATAGATTGATGAAACTAGCAGATAGGACACTATATACATTTAGATAATAGATTAATTAAACTAGCAGATAGGACACGAGATGTCGGTATTTTCAACATTTGGATTAAACTCATTTACAATGACCCTGAGTCAGAAACCCAAAGGAGTTTCGCGCAGTCGGCATAGAATTTTAAGACAGAGAGAGCCTGTTCTACAAATGATATATACTTTTTAGAAAAAACTCAGCGGGAGCGGTTGAATGAGCGGTTGAGATCTAGCCTAGACTCTACGCAGTCAAAAAATAAGAAATGCAACTTTTCTTCCTCAAATTTAAGCTTTGTTCAACCGCTAAATTCGTACTTTTTTCGTTTACATTTTTATCCACTTTTTAAAACTCTTTAGTTTGTTCAACCGCTGAGATAATACAGTTTTTTGCTTTCAACCCTGGGTTTAAGATTTTACAACAACTTTTTGCATTCAATCAATGAAACAAGGTTTATTTTAAAATACTGCTGGGTTTAAGATTTGAAATAATTTATTTGCTTTTAAACGCCTGTTTTAAGTTTTTTTTCAGCAACTATTTTTTTTTTAACCGCTGGGGGGTTATCAAAGATTTACGACATGTTGAAAAGATATCATTTCAAAAATAAGTTTGAGCTAAAAACATAGTTTCTTTGTCAACTAATTGTTTTCCTTGTCAAAAAAAATAATGTAGAAAAGTTAAATTTGTTAAGTGGACATTACGTTTTCCTTTCCTCAGAAACATAAAGATATTAATTTCTCAATTAAATTATATGACAACCTTTATCAGTTAAATCAAGTGGCTCATTGAGTATCTTTGAGAATATGAATGATGTAATGAGCTAGTTTAGAAGAACATGAATGATGTAATGAGCTACATGAATGATGTAATGAGCTACTTCAGAGGAACATGAATGATGTAATGAACTAGTTTAGAAGAACATGAATGATGTAATGAGCTAATTTAGAAGAACATGTATGATGTAATGAGCTAGTTTAGAAGAACAAGAATGATGTAATGAGCTAGTTTAGAAGAACATGAATAATGTAATGAGCTATTTTAGAAGAACATGAATGATGTAATGAGCTAGTTTAGAAGAATATGAATGATGTAATGAGCTAGTTTAGAAGAACATGAATGATGTAATGAGCTAGTTTAGAAGAACATGAATGACATTTTTTATTTTGATTGATTGAACAAAGTATGACTGAGTTTAAAAAACGACTTGAAAGTTGTTGTCTTAAATAGATTTTTAATTTAAATAAGTTGTAACTTGTATGCGAAATCTAAAATTTTACTTTGAAAATGTGGTTTTTAAGAGTTTATAATTGAAACAACATCTAAAGAAGACACTTTTTAGTTAATGCCAAAAAAAATCCAATAATAATTTTACAATCAATTTTTTTCCTCAATTGGGGTTTAATGTGTATCCCTGGTCAAAATGATGATGCTCCATTGTTGAGGTGCTGTACAGTACTGCAAGCGGAGATGTAACCTGAACAAACATTTTAGATGTACCAGTTACTTGTGCAGAAAGCTTAGATTGTTAATTATAAATTAGGCAGATGGAACCCGCTTATAGAGTGGAAATGAAATATGTATGTAAAGTTTAGTTTTGATTTATAGCAATGATGTAACCTGTACACTGTATGTATTTACTGTACACCGTACACTGTACACTGTACACTGTACACTGTAAGTATACATTGTTCACTGTACACAGTACACTGAAAGTGTACACTGTTTGTTCACTTGTACACTGTAAGAATACATTGTATGTTCACTGTACACTATAAGTTTACATTGTACACTGTAAGTGTACACTGTATGTTCACTGTAAACTGTTAGTGTACACTGTATGTTCACTGTACACTGTACACAGTACACTGTAAGTGTACACTGTATGTTCACTTTACACTGTAAGTATACATTGTACACTGTACACAGTACACTGTAAGTGTACACTGTACACAGTACACTATAAGTGTACACTGTATGTTCACAGTACGCTGTAAGTATACACTTTATGTTCACTGTACACTATAAGTATACATTGTACACTGTACACAGTACACTGTAAGTGTACACTGTACACAGTACACTGTAAGTGTACACTGTATGTTCACTGTACACTGTAAGTATACACTATATGTTCACTGTACACTATAAGTATACATTGTGCACTGTACACAGTACACTGTAAGTGTACACTGTAAGTGTACACTGTATGTTCACTGTAAACTGTAAGTGTACACTGTATGTTCACTGTACACTGTAAGAATACATTGTACGTTGTACACAAATAAATTCTATAGTTTACTGAGGACTATAGAAATCCAATTTTTCTCATTGACATTTCTAAATTTCAAAAGTTAAATTGGAAAATTGAATTTGAATTTAAAGTTTCAAAAATACCGGAATTTGAAATGCTGATATTTCAATGAAAATAACAAAATTTCCTATTTTTCACTTTAATACAAGGTGTCCCACGAAACATGACAGTAGCAAGATGACTTGAAGGTTGTCTTTCATCATTAAAAGTCACAAGATACCCCTGGTCTTGGCATTTCCAAAATTTGGTCTAACTTGTTTGTACTCTCAATATTACTGGAGATATGATTGATTTAGTTTTTTTTGGTTTTATTTAATAAAATTGAAATTTTCAACGAAGTTCTCAATATCTCCGGTGATATTTAGAGCACAAAATAGGTAGACGACATTTTGGAAATCCTAGAACAAAGAGAACTTTGTAGTTATTGTTTCAAAAATCATAAATGTGAAAGAAGGTTAACGACTGAATGTTTTAAATAAATCCAAAGATCAAAGACGACTTTCAAATCGTCTTACTTCTATCATGTTTAGGGGGACACCCTGTATTTAAAATTTGTTTTTAACTGTAAAATAATTTTAGAACTCACACAGTTTTTGAAATTACCTTATTGTCTGCAATGCAGGTATAATCTGGTATACCTTAGTCTGGTAAACAGGTGTAGTCGGGTATACAGGTGTAGTCTGGTATACAAGTGTAATCTGGTGTATATATACAGTCTGGTATACATTTGTCTGGTATACTTATGCATTCTGGTCTACCTTAGTCTGGTATACAGGTATAGTTTATGATATACATGTATCGTCTGGTCTACAGGTATAGTCTGGTATATAGGTATTGTCTGGAATGCAGGTATAATCTGGTATACCTTAGTCTGGTAAACAAGTGTAGTCGGGTAAACAGGTGTAGTCTGGTATACAGGTGTAGTCTGGTATACGGATGTAATCTGGTGTAAATATATAGTTTGGTAAACATTTGTCTGGTATACTTATGGTATACCTTAGTCTGGTATACAGGTATAGTTTATGGTATACATGTATCGTCTGGTCTACAGGTATAGTCTGGTATACAGGTATAGTCTGGTATACATGTAAATCTGGTATACAGGCATAGTCTGGTATACAGGTATAGTCTGGTATACAGGCATAGTCTGGTATACAGGTATAGTCTAGTAGACATGTTTAGTCTGGTATAAATGTATAGTCTGGTTTATCGGTGTAGTCTGGTATACATGTATAGTCTGGTCATGTATAGTCTGGTATACAGGCATAGTCTGGTAATAATAATAATAATAATAATAATAATAATAATAATAATGTATATTTCAAACTAGTTTACAGGTTATGATCATGGAATAAAATCAGTGATATATTAAATATTTACAATTACAGACGCTAGTTTGCGGACTAGAAAGTTTTCAGACTGTATAAACTAGCCCAAATTTTTTTTCTCATTTGTTCTTTTTTAGACTGTACTATTGAGCGATGAGATATACCAGATACTGTGCATATACAGGTACAGTCTGGTATACAGGTGCAGTCTGGTAAACAGGTGTAGTCTGGTATACAGGTGTAATCTGGTGTATATATAGTCTGGTATACATTTTGGTATACAAGTATAGTCTGTGGTATACATATATATTCTGGTATAAAGGTTTAGTCTGGTATACAGGTATAGTCTGGTATACAGGTATAGTCTGTGGTATACATATATAGTCTGGTATACAGGTAAAGTCTGGTATACAGGTATAGTCTGCGGTATACATATATAGTCTGGTATACAGGTATAGTCTGGTATACAGGTATAGTCTGGTATACAGGTATAGTCTGGTATACAGGTATAGTCTGGTATACAGGTATAGTCTGGTATACAGATATAGTGGTGTTATACATATATAGTCTGGTATACAAGTATAGTCTGGTACACAGTTATAGTCTGGTACACAGGTATAGTCTGGTATACAGGTATAGTCTGTGGTATAAATATATAGTCTGGTACAAAGGTATAGTCTGGTATACAGGTATAGTCTGTGGTATACATATATAGTCTGGTATACAGGTATAGTCTGGTATACAGGTATAGTCTGGTATACAGGTAAAGTCTGGTATACAGGTATAGTCTGCGGTAAACATATATAGTCTGGTATACAGGTATAGTCTAGTATACAGGTATAGTCTGGTATACAGGTATAGTCTGGTATACAGGTATAGTCTGGTATACAGGTATAGTCTGTTATACAGATATAGTCTGGTATACAGGTTTAGTCTGGAATACAGGTATAGTCTGGTATACAGGTATAGTCTGGTATAAAGGTATAGTCTGGTATACAGGTATAGTCTGGTATACAGGCATAGTCTGGTACACAGGTATAGTCTAGTAGACATGTTTAGTCTGGTATAAATGTATAGTCTGGTTTATCGGTGTAGTCTGGTATACATGTATAGTCTAGTATGCAGGCATAGTATGGTATACAGGTACAGTCTAGTATACAGGCGCAGTCTGGTAACAGGTGTAGTCTGGTAAACAGGTGTAGTCTGGTATACAGGTGTAATCTGGTGTATATATAGTCTGGTATACATTTTGGTATACAGGTATAGTCTGTGGTATACATATATAGTCTGGTATAAAGGTTTAGTCTGGTACACAGATATAGTCTGGTATACAGGTATAGTCTGGTATACAGGTATAGTCTGGTATACAGGTATAGTCTGTGGTATACATATATAGTCTGGTATAAAGGTTTAGTCTGGTATACAGATATAGTCTGGTATACAGGTATAGTCTGGTATACAGGTATAGTGTGGTATAAAGGTATAGTCTGGTATACAGGTATAGTCTGGTAGACAGGTATAGTCTGGTATACAGGTATAGTCTGGTAGACATGTTTAGTCTGGTTTAAATGTACAGTTTGGTTTACAGGTGTAGTCTGGTCACCTTATTCTGGTATACATGTGTAGTTTCGTATACATGTTTAATCTGGTGTTCATGTGTAGTCTAGTATACAGTTTGGTATACCTTTGTCTGGTTTTCAAGTATAGTCTGGTATTCATATAGGCAGGTAGACTTTTGTATCATGGTATGCACTACTCTGGTATACATGTGTAATCTGGTCTACCTTAGTCTGGTATGCGGGTGTAATCTGGTATACAGGAATAGTCTGGTATACCCTAGTCTGGTATGCAGGTGTAATCTGGCATAAGGTTTTTCTTGGTCTGGTATACAGGTATAGTCTGGTATAAGGTATAGTCTGGTATACAGGTATAATCTGGTATAAGGTATAGTCTGGCATTCAGGTGTAGTCTGGTATAAAGGTATAGTCTGGTCTACCTTAGTCTGGTATGCATTATTAGTTCCTCTATGATCAAGATCATGACAAAGACAGGCAACTAGGAGACCAAGTACTTCAAGCTCCACCATAAACCTTTCCATCTTTCCTAAATCAAATTCATCAGTTTTAAAGGGACTTTTCTCGTAGTTTCAAGAGACTCTCCATCTGTAATTCCAATAGATATCAGTTTTAAACCTTTTCCATAATCACCGACAGCGAAGAAATCCGCTGTTTTCATTAAACAAATTGGTGTGCGAACTCCAGAAAGTTAGAGTCAGAGATAAGAGAGTTACAGAGATCGATTAACACCTATAATATGCGATAATTTCCACAGCATGTTCTATTGTGTACAAGTACTGTACACGACCAATCAGGAGACATCTGTATTCAGGAATATTTAAGGGGCCTTTGAATAGGAAATGCAAAATCTTTAAAAATATACAATATTCATAAACGTTATTTTTTATGTTTAAAATTGGAGTATTTCTTTAAAAGTTGTAAAACTTAACCCCTGAAAGCAAGAAGTGGCCGTGAGATGTCAGTCAAAAAACATTACATGGAACTGTAGCATGGCGTGCCGGGACACTATAGGCCTGCTCAGCCTATCCACATAGAGTGTATGCGCAGTTGCACAGTCTGTGGTTGGAGTGTAGACTGTGTACATAATGTACAGTGTACACTATACAGTTTACATTTTACAGTGTACAAACTGTAGCGTACAACAATTAGATTATTCGGAAAAAATTGTAAAACATGGTTTTTCAAGCGGAGAGAAGAATGTAAGATATTCTAATATGCTACTCTACAAATAAGAACAAAATAATGTTCAAATTGGTTTCTTTTAACCCTCGTTTACAAATATGCTGGCACGCAAATATACAAGGTTATCCAAAAAGGATGAGCCTGTAAGAGTCTGTAGATGTAATCTGAGGTGACCCCTATTTAAGGAGTTGCATGTCTGTCGGTACGAAGGGGAATAGTCGTTTTTAACAGTGTTGAATCCAGAAAATATCATTCCTTGTTTCTGTTGCAGAAATCCGAAAGTAACTCTTCAGGAATCACATTTGGAAATCTTTGATGAGACTTTAAGAGTGTCTTGAAACTCTTTAAATAAATCACTCTAAACGTTAATCTTGGTTTCTCCCTTTAATGTAAACCAGTATATTTGGAAGAAAAAACATAAGTTTACTGCAGCTGCAAGGAACCTTAGTTAAATTCGTCTCTGAAGTCTCAACCTTTGTGGGTTACCATGCACGAGCCGTAATCTTTAAACCTTCTCAACAGGAAATATATTCTTGTTTTCTATTCGGGCTCCTTTAAACCTTCTCAACAGGAAATATATTCTTGCTTTCTATTTGGGCTCCTTTAAACCTTCTCAACAGGAAATATATTCTTGTTTTCTATTCGGGCTCCTTTAAACCTTCTCAACAGGAAATATATTCTTGGTTTTCTATTCGGGCTCCTTTAAACCTTCTCAACAGGAAATATATTCTTGTATTCGGGCTCCTTTATACAAGTTACTAATCAATTGTTGAGACATGAGAAAAGGAATGCAATTGACAGAATTCAACACGGTTTAAGAAAGAAAAATGACAATATCTTCCACATTGATCCTTATTCAAATTTGTTAAGAGTTGTGTTGTAAATCCGAATTGTATTTTTAAATTGGGAGGCAGTAAAATTTCATTGACAGTCCCTTTAAATTGAGAATTCTTGTTTTTTTTCTAACTTTCTACTTTATCCCATCTTTATTCTAAATTTCTGGCATCAAGCTGGAATGGTTTCCCAATATACATGATTCAGCAGTATTTCATTATTCCTCCTAGACATGTCACAAAATCAGATTTAGGGATGGGCACTGAGGTTTAAAAAAATTAAAATGTTATCGAAAAATGATATTGAAGGTATGTAGATTGTTATCAACGGTACGTCCTTAACGGTCATTAACGAATGCACGTTCATTGAAGGTTTTTAAGAAAGGTACGCTCACCATAGCTTTGTTCACGTAACGACGATTAAAAAATTAAAACTACTTTTTCGTTTTTTTATTAAAAACAATTCTTTTCTTTTTCCTTTTTTTCTATGTCCACATACCTGTATGTGTGCACACACTTATGATAACACTATTCTATTTGAAACTCAAACAACAACTTGAAAATGAGATTAGTTCACGACAAAACTTTTTCTTTTCTGTTAATCCTCTTAGAAAATATAAATACAAAGAACTTCCAAGCCTTCTTTTCTCTGCAAAACTCATAACTTTGTATTAAGAAAAAAATATTTTTAATTTGACAAAGTAGACATTCATTCATAATTAGTCTAATGTAATATAACTGAATTTTCTGAATATTTTTCTGATTAAATCAATTTAATCATTTCAAATGACCTTCCTTTTTTAGAAGGCAATCTTAAAGTGTATAATTTGGACAATTTCCCCCATTGATGCGGGATTCAATTTCTACAATTGAAAATAGTTAATTTCAGATAGAAGATTATTGATCTCATTTTTATTTTTGAACAAGCTTTTAAGGGTACTATTGTGAATCAGACAAATGAACAGTCCCTTATATTCAATAAAATTTAAAGTGTAATAATTAAAAAGTTTTATTACCTGTTTTCAGCATTGTAAACATAGTTTGGCAGACATTGAGACCATGCCTCCAATTGTGGTATTTGACAGGTCTGTAGTTTTTCTTTACACTTAGAGCCCATCTACATAGAACCTGAAACAGTTGAATTTCAGCCAGAATTTTTTTTTCGTAATTTCGCAAAGTTTGCGTATTTTTTTTGTATTTTAGCGCGAAAATGATCGTGTTTACTAGGAAGAAGCTAAAATTTCCATATTAACACTTTTGATGCGCAAAGGAATTGAGTTTTTGCAACAAACACAAACTTTCTAATCCCTAATGGTGTAATCTTTTGATCAAACTTAGATTATTTGATCTTATAGAATTCATAGTTTAGTATATCTTAGTTTGTAGCAAAGACTCAATTCCTTTTGGTATATGCAAATGACATACAAATTTACATTAATATCTTTGTTAAATTTTTATTTTTCCATACTGTTGTTAACCTAATTATTATGCCCATTAGATTTATTAGAAATCATTGGTAAACTTTTTTCCCACAAAATGCAGGCATTTATATGGTGCAGTTTGTTTTGCTTTGACTGGATTCAAATATAAGGAGTGCTTGTTGGTTTTTTTTTAACATTTTCGAAATACTATAAAATACCTTTATATTTGAATCTGCAGGTCAAATCAAAACAATAGCCCAACCCTCACTGTACAGTGTTGGAAGAAACAGTTTTTTCTTAAAGATTGCAATCAGGGGGCGGAAACGTCATGTGTCTGGACCAAAAAAGTGTGTGTTAGTTTAAAGTACCAAAGGTGTACTGTGTCTGTAGGTATATTATAGAGTTCATACGAATCTCGGTATTTGTACAGTCTAGGAGAGTACATTTGTTTATTGTTAATTGTTTACTTAAAAATAAGTTTAATATACTTGTAGTATATTATTTATATATTTAAGTCAACACTATAAGCCAAATGTCCATGCAAAGAATATAACTTGATTAAAGTTTACAATAATAAATATAGTCGTTATTCAAGTTTAATTATAATTGACAACATTGTTCTGCAATTTCCTTGACTGTAATCATGTTGTGTGTCTGTACCAAAAGTGTGTGTGCCAGTTTAAAGTACTGGTCTGCAAAGCAGTACCAAAAGAGTGTGCGTGTGTAATACCGAACTCGTCTGCAAAGCAGGCTTTCTCATGCCAGACCAGCGCCATTTCCTTTCCTTTTATTCCTATTCGCTGATTGCAATATTGGTTTAATTCAGCTGGTTTAGTCAACAGTACAAAACAAATTTGCTATCATGTAATGCCGGAAAATCCAATAAACACATGAAAGCCTAGGTATTGGAAGAGAAATCAGATAATCTCAAAGTGAATTGCGGCATTAGTGCGCTAAATACATTTCCAATATATATACCTATTCTTAGATTTTGGTAAATACATTAAAAGAATATATATATATATATATCTACATTACAATAACAAAGGATTTACAAAATTGTGTGCACACAACTATTTCTTTGTAGTTAGAGTACAAATGCATCCTGCATTGCAATAACTTTTTTTTTGCAGTTAGTATTATAGAGGCTGCAATTAGTAAAAACTGAATCTACATTTTACAAGATTTTTTAGAGCACTGTTAACAAAGAAACTGCAATCTGCTAAGAATTCGGAGCCCCTAAACTACAACAAATTTTTTGACGGTTTTTAACTATTGTGACATTGACAGTAGCAGACGCTGTAGATTATTTTATTAGGAATGTACAGACCTTTGGTTACAATTTAGTTATTACTATTTAGTATTCAGAGGAGCAAATTAATACAGTACTTTGTAAAATAGTGGGGAAATTTAATTTTTGAGTGAAAATTTATCCGTAATGCAGTTTTTAGAAGAAGTCCTGGCAATTTAAAATCATCTCATTCAACCTTTTATCTCTGTTTTTGGCTTGAAATTCGCGCAAAAGATAAACACTAGATTTTTAGAGAGGTTAAAATCCATGAACATTCTGATAACTATCTTGACTGTCAGGTTATCATGGTATTTGACGTCTATGAACTTGTAGCTGTCCAACAAAAACTCCTCAGCCTACAATTTTTGGAAACATTTAAACATTTAATTTAGTTTAAAACTGGATTAAACCATTATTTTAAACTTTTTAGTTGAAAAGATTAGACCTGTAACTTAATGGTTAGGGTGCTATGGAGGCTTGAAAACAGTTCAATGGCTTTTGAATAAATTTATTTTAGATCTGTAGCAAAATTAGTGAAAAAGTTATTAACTGTTTTGGATTTTGTTTTGAAACACCGTCTTCCGCTTTTTGCTAAATTTTTCACAACTTTGAAGTTGAAAAAGTGAAGAAATTTGACCGATTTTAAGTAAAACCGACCCCCCCCCTCCTTCGTGATAGGGTTAACATTACTCAAATAAACCTAGGCTAGACTGGAGTCTGACAGGGTTACTCAGATAAAATAAATTATTGTAAATCTGGTTTGTAACTCTATAAATAGAGAACACTTGAAGTTGAAAGTTCAAGTATTAGACAACTTATTGAATATTGTGAATAGCAATGATAACTTGTAAACTTGTAAAACTATTCAATTTACCAAAACATTAACATTAGTTATCGGAATTATTTAAAACATCTGTACACAACATTCAGCAAGTTTTTACATAAATTATATAAATTATATCAAGGATAAAGAAAGTCATCTTTAAGTCTTGTCATATTTGTGATAACTGTGTGTCATCCTGTAAATATTGCTTGTTTAGAATATTTATTTTGATTTGACATTTCTCTTCTCATGTTTTTGTTGTGATTTAAGGTTCTTTTCCTTTTCAGGAAGAGAACTATTTTATACTAGCTTGGGAACCCAGCGCTGCCAAGGTTACTAAAAGTTACTGACCCGCTGTTTAGCCGCACTTAAACGATTTTACCGGGAAACTAAATTTTCGCCATTAAAATCGATCCCCTCAACTTGGAATCGCCAAACCAAAAAAAATTCCAGTGGGACAAATAAACAGACAGACAAACAGAGATTATAACTTTATATATATATATAGATAGATTAACCCTATCTATGCTGGGTTACTTGAAAACCAGGATATGCTCTAAATCCCATGTTTGATGTCCAAATATGACAAATGATAAATCATTGGAAAGCTCTTGTGCTCTACTCTGAGAATCTGCAAAAAAATTGCAAAATTTGCAAAAATTGAATTTTTTATCGCGAAATCCAGTTATATAGTAAAAATGTTTGCAAAAAAAATTTTTCCAAAAATGAAAAATTATACATTTTTGATAAGCCCTTGACCATGCCATTTAAAATATGCAAAAAAATTTGCAAAATTCTAAATAACCTGATTTTTAATCAAGAAAAACTAAAAATGTGCAAATTTCCTTTGACAGGTTGTTTGCAAAAAAATTGCAATTTTTTTCGCAAAACTTGTGCAATTCGTTTCCTCATGTCAAAGGCTTTCCAAAAAGCTAAATTTTATCAAAATCTGACAAGTGGAAGTGGGTCAAAACAAATATTTAGTTTGTTACAGAAAAAGCAGTCATTCAGACAGTGTGCCTGAGGACTCAGGCAGTTAGTATTTAACCCCGGTTTTAGGCCTGAAGAGAGGGCTTTGGGTATGAAGCAAAAAGTCAGAAAATTTCAACAGCCTCAGACCAATACTTTTTGAGTTATGTAAAAAAAAACTACATGGGGGGGTCAAATTGACCCCCCCCCCCCAGCAGGAATAGGGTTAACTGTGTAACATATAGTGGAAAACTAAATAATTGTTTTCAAACTTGAAGATGGAAAATAGAATTCTCACAAAACTTTTTTGCCACAAATTATAATTTTAAATTTTCTAATCCCCATTTTTCATTTTCACCTAATGGGTATAAACTTTTGATATTTCAAACTATTTGATCTAACAGAATTCATTGATTGAAATATTAAACGTATACGGCAATGCTATAAGAAACTTAGAATTTGTGGCAAGAACTCAGTAATTTCATAGGGACTGATTAAATTCTGTAGATATTGCAGTTTTGCCATCTCCTCTAAAGGAAGACTTTAATTTTAAATGACTATTAAATAAAAATAAATTATTCCTGTTTCAAAACCATACCTTTTACAATTTTTTCTTAGCAATAATAAGGAAGATTTTGTCTTTTGTCAATTGTCTTTTTTTTCGGTAGCAGAAATCTGCAAGCCACTTTTACGGAAACTATCAATGAAGAAATAAGAATATCTTCGTTATTTTTGTTGAGAGGAAGGTTTAATGGTTTTCATTGTAAGTTGAGCATTAAGTTACGTTGAGAGTTCCTTTCAGAAAATTGTTTAAAATATCGTTTAGTTGTCATGGGTCAGGTACAGTACAGTACAGTACAGTACAGTACAGTACAGTACAGTACAGTACAGTACAGTACAGTACAGTACAGTACAGTACAGTATGGGTCAGGTGAATGAAAATCATTAGTTTTGGTGCTTTGCTGGCAAAACTTTTCAGTTAATGCTCATACTTTATTCATTGAAAGTGGTGATCAGCAAAAGGGGGAGAGATGGGGGGATGGATACAATGTTAAAAACTGTAAGATAACAAACAATCCTTCCAGCACAGTGTTTCTTAAAGTAAACTAAATGAAAGACAACATAGAAATTTGTAAGAAAAAATTCAAAAAAGATTGATCATCATTTTTTAAAATTCTTTCTGAAGCTTTTTTTTATTTTGACAGTTTAAGAACAAGTTTAGCTTTTTATGTTTTATTCAAAGCTTCTATATTTTGATTTTGGATATATTAAATTCTTTAAAATTTTCAGTAGTTTTTAAATATTTACATGTGTTTGTCATCATATTTCTAAACCTACAGGGATTTTGCATATTTTCGAATATGAAGATTGTAGACTCTTTTTTCGAATCCCTATAATCGTTGTAACCTTATGGCGTAAACCATTGATATTTTGACTAAAACCATTTGATCTTATTGAATTTATAATTTGAAATATCAAATGTCTACGACATCTGATGATTATTTGGACAAAATATTTGAATACACCTAAATAAATCCACCAACGTGGAACTCTGGTGATAACCAGAGAAACTGTGGAATAGGAAGACGACATTAAAGCAAAACTTATTCCTATTTTATAGTGTTACAAAGTAAAAAGTTTTATTAGTAACTTATAAAATGATAAATCACTTAATATGTGAAATGGGTCTGTTTGCACTGCACAATTGATGTGTTTCATGTTCTATTGGACTATTTAATGTCATAACTTGAGTCTGAAAGTCGTCTTGCTATTGTAGAATTTCCTTCTTCTTACTGTATTTACAGAACAATAAAATACAAGTACAGAAATTAGAGAAATCGTTTTTGTAATTTTATTTCTTAAACATAAAATGTTTTTTCTCTAGAAAGGATTTATTTGTTGTTATTCTCCACAAAACAACTGTATTTTTCTATATTTATTACAAATATTTCGACGCAATTTTGTTCTGAAAATGTTTCTTTCCATTTGATTAAATGAAATACAAATCTTGATATGAAAAAAGTTTCACCCAAATAAAAGTTAGAATCTCTAAAATTATTTTTACCTTAGGTATTGGTTCCCTTGATAGAGATATAGCATCATCGTTGCTAGCTGTAGCATGGTAGGATAGACAGTCCAGGGCTACTTTCTAAACATATATTCATGTAGCATGGTAGGATAGACAGTCCAGTGCTACTTTCTAAACATATATATTCATGTAGCATGGTAGGATAGACAGTCCAGGGCTACTTTCTAAACATATATTCATGTAGCATGGTAGGATAGACAGTCCAGTGCTACTTTCTAAACATATATTCATGTAGCATGGTACGATAGACAGTCCAGTGATACTTTCTAAACATATATGTTCATGTAGCATGGTAGGATAGGCATTCCAGTGCTACTTTTTAAACATATATATTCATGTAGCATGGTAGGATAGACAGTCCAGTGCTACTTTCTAAACATAAATATTCATGTAGCATGGTAGGATAGACAATCCAGTGCTACTTTCTTAACATATATATTCATGTAGCATGGTAGGATAGGCAGTCTCAGTGATACTTTCTAAACATATATCCATGTAGCATGTTTGAATAGACAGTCCAGTGCTACTTTTTAAACATATATTCATGTAGCATGGTAGGATAGGCAGTCCAGTTCTACTTTCTAAACATATATATATACAAGTAGCCTGGTAGGATAGACAGTCCAGTGCTACTTTCTAAACATATATATTCATGTAGCATTATAGGATAGACAGTCCAGTGCTACTTTCTAAACATATATCCATGTAGCATGGTAGGATAGACAGTCCAGTGCTACTTTCTGAACATATATATAAACAAGTAGCATGGTAGGATAGACAGTCCCAGTGCTATTATCTAAACATAAATACATACAAGTAGCATGGTAGGATAGGCAGTCCCAGTGCAACTTTCTTAACCTATATGCAGCACGGTAGGATAGAAGGTTCTTAATGGGACTTAGAGCGTAATTTCGAGTGCAAAGAATGGGATATCCTTAATCCCGATGGGTTAATTAATCTGGAGATTAATAACAGGAGGAGAACAAGTATTATTTAATCTCTAGATTAAGAAAAAGAGGGAATCAAGCATTAATCCCTATAGCCACCATTCAAAAGTTCCCAGCTCAGATGTTTTCCTACAGTAGAAATTCGCAAGTCACTTTTGTGAAGAATCCACAATTGAAAATAATCAGATTTCAAAATTATAAACATTGGTGTATTTAATTTATACAATTAATCAGACACAGCTTTTAAAGGTATTGTTGTCATTTGAGCATTGCCATCTTTGAATGAAGGGTCGCATATCGAATTACGCTTACGTTCCTTTTAACTTCGGTTTTACAAACAATTGATTATCGGTTATTTCTGGCGCCAAGATATTAAATTAAAGAATAGTAAGAATCTGAAATATGTGTCAAAATGCATTTTTCCCTTGACTACAATGGATTAGAATGTGTAGATCTAAAAGAGAAAAACAGAAAACAGATGTGTGACCAGAAAAAAAAGATTCAATCCAGAGTTCAGAAAAAATTAAGATGCAAGACGATACAGAGTTCAGAAAAAAAGAGAGCAAGATATTTAGCAATTTTAAATTGATGGCTCAGAAAAAAAAGCAAGATCATTCAAAAAAAGTTCTTACTTGTAACAGGGCAAACTACAAGGACATTCAACAAAATTCTTTCTTTTTATTTTCAAAATTGCCAAAGTATGATTGAAAAATGGACCAACAAGAAAAAATTGAAGAACAAGAAACATAGAAATCTCAAATATTTCTATCTGATATCATATGAATATTCAAAAATATTGTAAAATTTAAATAAAATAAATTATTAAAGTTAAAAAATTATCGGTTTCCTTTTGTTGGGTATTTTCAAATTACTTTTTATTAGATTATTTGCAACATTTTGAAAAGATAATAAATTTCTTCAATTCTAAAATTCTATCCTATTCATCCTTCCTCAAAAGAAACATTTTTACCATTCTAATTTGTAAAGGCTATTACAGGATTTTGTCTTCCTAACTTGACTAAATTGTGAAATAGAAATAGAGCTCGAAAATGTTAAATGAAGTAAATATTTGAAAAGAAAGATGTAGGAGCTCTACTCTGCCATTTGGAATTTTAAATTCTAGAATTTAGAATTTAGAATACAAAGCTTCGAGGAACATGCTTTTCTCAAATTTGTCAAGTTTTAGAATGGAAAACTTTGATTTGAAATAATTGTAAACATGTTTTGAATTTTTGAAGCATTCGGCTGTCAACTTTTTTTCTGGACAAGCAAGCAAAAACAAAAGTTTACATGGTTCAAAAAATTGTAAAAAGTGTTGAGTTTGGAGACGGGCCCGTTTGGCTTTTTTTCATTACATTTATTTATTGTTATTTCTTTTTTTTCAATCGAAAAACATTAATTTCGTTTGTTCTCAAAATTATCGTTTACTCCTGAAGGATCGTGTAGTAAAATCGTTTATTCTGTAAAATTGTATGTTCAATGAAATCGTTTGTTCAGTAAACAAATTATTATTTTTTTCAAAACAAAACGATTGGTTTTTCAAAATCTTTCGGAAAATTTGTTTGCTCAATAAAAATTATTGTTGTTGCATGATTGCTCGAACGAACGATTTTCAAACAAAATCTTTTTTCCTTTCTTTGAACAATCCAAGCCGTTTGTCCATCATTAGTTTTTTTTCTGAGCTATCGTTCACTAAATATTCAGTTTGTTTTAAAATACGGTATTAAGTGAAGAGAAGGCGACAGGGGTTAGGGAGGGAAAGGGGATCAGGGTTCAGGGAGGGGAAGGAGAGAGGGTTTAGGGAGGGTAAAGGGAGAGGGTTCAGGGAGGGAAAGGAGAGAGGTTTCAGGGAGGGGAAAGAGAGAGGAATCAGAGAGGGCCGGGATTGGCCAGGTTAAGTGAGGGGAAGGAGAAAGGGTTCAGGGAGGGTCGGTATTGGACAGGTTAAGTGAGGGGAAGGAGAGAGGGTTCAGAGAGGGCCAAGATTGGACAGGTTAAGTGAGGTGAAGGAGAGAGCGTTCAGGGAGGGGAAGGAGAGAGGGTTCAGGGAGGGCCGGGATTGGACAGGTTAAGTGAGGGGAAGGAGAGAGGGTTCAGGGAGGGGAAGGAGAAAGGTTTCAGGGAGGGCTGGGATTGGACAGGTTAAGTGTGGGGAAGGAGAGAGGGTTCAGGGAGGGCCAGGATTGGACAGGTTAAGTGAAGTGAAGGGGACTGCTGGGAAGAAACAAAATAAAGTAAGGTGAAGGGAGGGGAGGGATGGTAGTAAAAGCATGTATAAAAATGGGGTGAAAGGGAGATGGGGGTTAAACCGTAAATTGTAGTTTATGGAAAAATTGTTATATATAATAAATATTTATTTTAATACCTGTTTAGCCATAAGCTTGTAGGCACTCTCATACATTTTTGTATTATGAATTCCAATTCCACAGAAGATGGCAAATGCTTCAAACATTGAAATATCCGTGTCATCAAACTGCTTCCCATTCAACTACAAATTTTCTATGTACTAATGTAGATACTTTTAAATTTGTTATATGTTGGAAAAAGTTAATAATAAACACGGAAATTTCGATTTAATTTTTTGAAACTCATTTAAAAGTATACCCCCCCCCCCTTTTTAAAGTTTTTTAAAGTGTTTTCAGTTTACACAAGCCGGTTAAACACATGTTTTTTATCTGTTGATAATTTACAATATGTTAAAAAGTGGCAGAAAATGAAGACGTTGGTATTACATAAATTGTATACGAGTATGATTTTTTTTAAATGGGTCAACAGACATATTTTCGAGTTACACTCCATTCATAGAGTTAGATTCACAACGGTACCCTTTTTAACCTTTGTCTTATCAAGGGTACATTAATCGCCCATGTTTTCCAGAATGAAACACGATAGTTTTCAGTTTTGACTTAATGTGCAGAAAAATTTGGGGAAATAGCCAGAATTTGACACTTTATAAATTTTAATTGGTTCATTGAAAAAGGTTTAAAAGGTTTATTTTCAACATATCACTTTATAAATGAAGGGTCTCTTTAATTCCATTTAAGAAACAATTTTTTGAGATCTTGGAGGGGATGGTTTATACGTTAACTAAATCTGTGCTATTAGTCTAACTCTAGTATTAGAGATCTGGTGAGGGGTTTATGCGTAAACTAAATCTGTGCTATTAGTCTAACTCTAGTATTAGAGATCTGGTGAGGGGTTTATAAGTAAACTGAATCTGTGCTATTAGTCTAACTCTAGTATTACCTTATTTATAAGCTGAGCTACTCCTATTACAGTCCTCTGTCCGTTGTATATCGGTAAACTAAACCAACAGATTCAAACACAAACGAAAAATATATATATTTTTTGAAATATTGATAGTCATTCAACACACTAGTTTTCTAATCCCTAAAAAATTGTCGAGCGTAAACCTCGGATATTTTAACCCTATTTAGCCTGACGTCTGGGTTCCCCCCCCCCCCCCCTCTATTTTAACCCTATTTAGCCTGACGTCTGGTTACCCCCCCCCCTCTATTTTCTTATTGTGATACAAATCTATAACATTTGATATGTTTTTGCAAAGCTCTCATGGACTCTTCTTCAAAAATCTGCAAATTTATGACAAATTTGCAAAAATCCAAATATTTATTGCAGAATCTAGTTATTAAGAAGAAAAAAAATTGCTCAAATTGCAACAGATTTTACATTTTTGAAAAGCCCTTGACACAGCAAATTCAAATATGCAAATGTGCAAATTCCCTTGATGGCATCTGTGCAAAAATCTGTGCAAAATTTCTTTGCAAAAATTGTGCAATCCAAAGAGCTGTAAAATGTTGAAATCCTATGACTGGAAGTAGGTCTAATTATAGACTTAGTCTGGCATAGGTAAAATAAGGCATTTAAGCAGTATGCCTGAGGACTAAAGCAGTAGGTATAACAGCCCAGCTTTTAGCCTTACATGAGGAGCATGTGTTAGAAAAACCAGAAAATTTGAGCTTCTATCTCAAATATTTTTTGAGTTATCACAAAAAAAGCCGAAAAGGGTTAAACTTTGACTATTAAATCGTATTATATTATATTTACAATATTCCGTCTCCCCTTTTATTTTCCAACCAAACTCATATTTTCATTATATTTGTTAAAATTTCTAAATATAAAGAAATAAAAAAAATTTAAACAATGTTTTGATTCTTTGAGAACAATCCGACCAAAGATTTGTAAGCAAAATAAAAATAAATTCTTTCATCGTTTTATGATTTTACTATCTTTAAGTTAAAAAAGTTTACTTTTCAAGTTTCACTACGTTAACATGGTGAGATTCTATTTCTATTTTGGAAAAATAATAACATTGAAAGCCCCGAATGCAGTACAAAACTTTAATCTAAGGTGGCAATTTATATCATGGAGATTAGATTTTTAAGACGTTTAGTCATGGCTGTAAATAAGATTAGATACTCTGGATGCGCTCCAATGTATCTAAATGTCGTCTTTTTGCAATGAACACTCTAAACCCTCAAATGATGGCACGGCACGCAAAATCTATTTAAGATAAGCAGTGACGTTTTATGCGGATTTAGAGTGTTCATTGCTATAAGGTCGTCTTTACCTACATCGCAGCGCATCCTGATTCCAGAGTATATAACTTTAATTATACAACCTTGCGTTTAATTTAATCAGTTTGTAAATGAACCAAGTCTATTTTTTTTAAGTAAAAGGTTTAACTATTAAACTTACACAAGAGGGGGTGGGGGGCACCAAGTATAAAAATAAAACATAAATATAAAAATGAATGTGTGTTAATGAAATGTTCCTAAGCATGCTTTTAGGTGTAAAACCATCTTCTTCCTGCTCTAGCTCTTCACCACACCAGTCCTTCACGCTTCCAAGGTTCAAAACCTGGAGTAGTATCATTATTATTATTGTTATCATTGTCATCATTTTTACAATGTTTACTATTATACTCATTATTATTATATTTATTACAATTATTATAATTATTAATATAATCACTGTAATTATTATCATAATTATTATTATCATTATTACAATTATCATTGTCATTATTATCTTTAAAATGTAGAATATTTCTAACCGCTATTTAATATTCTTTACATGTGCTTATTTAATTGGTATTTCCATTTTGCAAAATATTTCTAATATTAGACGTTGAAACAGGTTGTGTATGAAACTAGAGCATTTTTTGGAGAATGAATATTTAACCACATCATGCTATATTTGTTCATATTTTGAGTTTGAAATAAATCTGAATAATAATACTTTACAAGGGAAAAAATAAGCCAATACCACAGAATGTTAAGAAACTGAACACTTCAGACAAGTGTAACCTTTTAAAGGTTTCCACCATCAGGTTACAAAGATGCAGTGATAGGAAAATTTGAGATTCATTATGTTTGTTTCTCCACTATGTATGTAAAGCCATATATTCAAACAAGAAAATGTCCGCAGTGTTGAATACTGGTATAGGGATTAAATACAGCTTTGTTAAACATAGAACTCTAGAACTCTAGAACTTTAGAACTCTAGAACTCTAGAAATCTAGAACTATAGAACTCTAGCTGGAATACAGCATCACAGAAAACTTCTACCAATCAAATAGATTATAAAATACAATAGGTGGCAACAGAGAAATGGACCAATTGTACACGACATCACAAGTGTCAAATATAACATGGAAAACGAAATTTTCTCACATTAGTTGACATGATTTCCAAGATTAAATAAAAAAACTGCAAAACAGAAAAAAGAACACAAAAATTTGCACTTATTTTACTGTAAGATAAGCACTTTATTCTAAAATTTTCACTATTATTGATGATATTGTCGGACACAAAAACTAAGTTGACACTTGTGACGTAGGAAAACAGCTGTACTGAGAGTGTACAAATTCTATCATACTAGAATCTATTTGCTACCAACCATAAATTTAATAATCATTTAATAAATCTTTTTTATTTGATGTTGCTTTAAAGCAAATATAGTTTTACCAGCTTGGCTCTAAATCATCTTATTAAGTTAAAAAGGTCTGTGCACACTACACAGTCGCTGTGTTTCATGTTAACAGGACTAGTTAAAATCATAATTTGATTATAATAATAATCTTCATAGTTTACAGTTTAATGGTTGCAATAATTCAGCAGATTGTCCTAATCATAATTTGATTATAATAATCATCTTCATAGTTTACAGTTTAATGGTTGCAATGATTCAGCAAATTGTATTAATCATAATTTTCATCATCATAATCACAGTAATTTTTTCTCTTTAATCAATTACCTCTAAGTTTGCAGCAACATGTTTCGCTATATCCAACCTCCTTGTCTCTCCAAATCTAAAAGTAAATATTTTTTTATATTTATAAATACATTTTTCACAAAATAACTGAATAAAGATTTAATTATATTTAACATAGTTATAACCATGGACAAAGGAATTAAGTTTTTGCCACAACCTAAATACCAATATCTTTGCAAACCAATGTTGTAGACCTTTGATATTTCAAATTATAAATTCTGTTATTTATAATAATAAAATTTTGAATTATCAATGGTTTACTAAGGTTTGTGGTAATTTGTGGCAAAATCTCATTTCCTTTGATAATTCTTATTTCTAATTCAGCCAAATGAAATAAGTTTTTAAAAGTTAAATCCCAAAACTTGTGGTAGTTGGGATAGAACACGTTTATGAAAATGTACGAATCATTCTCTAAAAGACGGAGAAACCCAATCATTTTTAAGTACTAACTTACCCAGTCTATTTTGTAGAGAAAAAAAATCCGGGAAGCTTAAAATTTTCTCGCAGATTCTTTATAGACATTCAGCTCACGTCAATTGGATAGTGTTAGTAATCCTTATGTTCAAGGATAATTTGGGGATAATTTTCCAAGAAAAGCTTACTTTACATAAAAATGTTTACAAACTTTTTATTTATAAATATTTTTGTTTACTTTACTCTGTTTACCAATCTAGTGAGTAGGAATGAATAAAAAGCTTTTTTAATATTGCATCAAGAGCATTAATAATTGAAAATATCAAAGTGCTTTTTGGGACCTTCATGACACACATAAGATAAGCAGAAGCATTAATAGTTAATTGAACTTACACAGTAAGTGATGTTAATGCAAAAGGATTTTTCTGTTAGAAATTCAATATTTTGGATTACAAAATAAACAATAAAAGATTTGTAACTGGGGTTGACACTTTTGTATGGTTTCATCTTAACCTACAATATTCGCAGTGGAAACTTTTAATTTGAAGAGATTTAGTCCTTATCGGAGTATCTGTGTTATGAGCTAAATCATCTTTAAAGATCTCAAAAAAAATCAACCCTTTCAGGAATGGTTAGCATTAAAACATTTCAAACCTCGTTTTAAGAACATAGAAATGTAGTATTCCCAACTGTAAAATCAGAGTTTGTGGCAAAAACTCAATTCCTATATCTTAATGCTTCTATTTTACAAGATTCTAGCTTACTTTGAACACTGTAGAACTCTGACTGAGTTCTCACACTCCGTCATTTCATAAGCAACATCAAACACCAGGAGGTCCTCCTTCATCTGAGCAGACCCAAGGCTCTCACTATCCGTCTAAACAATATATAACATCAAACACCAGCAGATCCTCCTTCATCAGAGCAGACCCTAGGCTCTCACTATCCCCAAATCAATATATGACATCAAACACCAGAAGGTCCTCCTACATCAGAGCAGATCCTAGACTCTCACTATTTTCTAATCATATGAAATCAAACACCAAAAGGTCCTCCTTCATTTGAGCAGTCCATAGGATCTCAATGTACATCTAAACAATACATGAAATCAAACACCAGAAGATCCTCCTTCATCAGAGCAGACCTGAGGCTCTCATTGTTCGTCTAAACATCAAACACTAGCTGATCCTTCTTCATTGACGCAGACTCTAGGCACTCACTGTCCCTCTAAACAATATACAACATCAAACACCAGCAAGTCCTCCTTCAGTAATGCAGATCTTGGGCTCTCACTGTCCATCTAAACAGTATAACATGAAACACCAGGATATCCTCCTTTATCCTCAACTGCACGTTTAAACATTATATAATACCAAACACCAGCTGAAGCTTCATTATTTGGGCAGACCCTAGGCTCTCACTGTCGGTTTAAACAATATACAACATTAAACACCAGCAAGTCCTCCTTCATTGGTGCAGATCCAAACCTCTCACTTTCCGTCTAAACAATAAATAACAAGAAACACCAGGAGGTCATCCTTCATTGGAGCAGATCCTAGGCTTTCACTGTCCATCTAAACAATATAACATCAACTGCAAATATAAACAATATATAATAACAAACACCAGCTGAAGCTTCTTCATTGAAGCAGACCCTAGACTCTCACTGTCGGTTTAAACAATATATGACATTAAACACTAGCAAGTCCTCCTTCATTGAAGCAGACCCTAGCCTCTCACTGTCCATATAAACAATATAAAATCTATCACCAGGATATCCTCCTTCATGGGAGCACACCCTAGTATCTCACTGTCAGTCTAAACAATATACAACATTAAACGCCAGCAAGTCCTCCTTCATTGAAGCAGACCCTAGGCTCTCACTGTCCACATAAGCAATATATCATCCATCACCAGGATATCCTCCTTCATGGGATCAGACCCTAGTATCTCACTGTCAGTCTAAACAATATATAACATTCAACACCAGCAAGTCCTCCTTCATTTGAGCAGACCCTAAGCTCTCACTATCCATCTAAACAATATAAAACATTAAGCACCAGCAAATCCTTTTTCATTGGTGCTGATCTAAAGCTCTCACTTTCCGTCTAAACAATATACGACATCAAACACCAGGATATCCTCCTTCATTAGAGCAGACCCTATATAAACAATATATAGTCATAGTATATAAAGTAAATTAACAGAATTTATCTCTATATTTGAAGAAAGTAACACTTGTCCCATTTTTATTCAAATAAGAGTTTAGAAATTGGAGTTATTTATTTAAGTTTTAGATTTACTTCCCCTTAAGTAAAGAGCTGAAGATGACCAAAACACTGATGTGAAATTAGTACACAACAAATTCTATAATTCCTTCCTTTAGATTTCCATAAATCTATTTTAATCTATATAATAAAATGACATTTAATCATATGCCAAATGGCTGGACTGATTGGGCTGAACTTTTTTGTGGACACTCATGGGTGGTGGTGGTGGTGGGGGGGGTTGGTGCTGTAGGCTAATCGATTTTTTCAAAATTTTATTTTTTTCAAAGTCCTTCTTAAATCTAGTCCTTTGTATACTCCATAGATATACAGCTAAAAGAATGGGACTGAGATATCTTCTTTTTGTTTTAAATTTCCTTCTTATCTCTCGGTATTACCAGAATTATAAGGACCCTATTTGAATATTCATGTGAGACCACTCAGGGGGCAAACACAGTCTAATATTCTAAATGAATATTCAAATTTTCCCCATAAATTAACAAAAGAAGAATTATTTTAATAAAATCTTTTAAAATATTTTTGGTTTAAAAGTTTCTACATTATTTCTTGTCAGTTTGGGAGTAGAGACCGAGCTGCTAGGTGAACCAGGTCGTTTTTCTTGCTGAGGAAGCCAGGTTTCATTTTCAACCTAAAATTAAAAAGAAAAATTTCAGTTTCCATTTTCAATTCAATACACATACATATATTGACCTCTAAAAGGAGTTGTTTTAAAATTTTTTATTAAATGTAGTTCAAAGGTTGAAAGTTTTTATGACATTGCCCTAATCTTTAAGCCCCTAACCTCAATATACACAATGGAAACTTTTAAGCTGATTAATATTTTTGCAATATCCAATTAGAACTTTACAGATTATTAGAATAAGTTGATTTTACCAGTGGACTACATACAACAAATAGTGCTATGTGTAGGGATTAAGAATACATAAGTTTTGACCTCTGGTCAGGATTCCTACCTCGTCGTACATCTTGAGATCAAGCAGGTAAACTGTACATCTTTCACACTGCAGCATTTCCTTAGCTTCAGTAATTATCATTCGGATCAATCTATTAAAATACAGTGTAACATACATACTTACTAGTAGTAGTAGTACTAGTAGTAGTAGTACTAGTAGTAGTATACTAGTAAATCCACTAGAGAGAACATGATGGACTTTAAGGTTAATTTGAATTCAAACACCAGACAGACCCCTTGTACAATGTACATACAGGCCTTAGTGACGAAGGCAAGTCCCAGCCTGACCCTATCCCATGCCAGCTTTTCAACTTTGATGGCACGGCTGGACTTGTTACAGTACCTTGCCTATCATAGGCTTAGTTTGTTGTGAGTAGATTGTCAAATTTGTACATTACTGGTATGTTGCAAATTATTCTGAGCTGAACATTTTAGAATGAGATATCCTTAATCAGGATTGCTTAATCTGATTTTCCAATGTACAAACTTTTAATTTTCTTCTATATTATAATTTTGGATATTTCTACTGTATAAAAGTTACGTTTGATAACAATTACAGATACAATGCTACATTGAATGGACTATATTCAATTGAATTAAAGTCAGCTGTTCAAAAGCTGACTTTTAGAGCATTTAAACAAATATTTTAATCATGTTAATATGAAATTATTAAAAACATATTTTAGGACTATTGTCATTTCTAATGTTAGTCTTAATAAGTATTAATCCAAAACTTATGTTCATTCAATCAATGTTTAGTTCAATTAATATGACAACATCACCAGAAATCCAAACCGGGTCCGGTTTTTCAAAAGTTAAAGGGTACATACATCTGAACATAACATGCTGATTGGTTAGATTTTTAACTTATTTCTTGGATATTGAATGCGATTAAAAATAATCTTGGGTTTAGTAAAACCAGGAGTTTAAGCATTAATCTTGATATCCACAATTCTAAAGTTTTCAGCTCTGAGCTGAAGACTTTAGAATGAGATATCCTTAAAAACTTTTGATTTTCTTCTTATAATCCTCTTTTTGGATATTTCTACTGTATAAAAGTTATATTTGATAACAATTACAGATACAATGCTATATCGATTGGACTAATATCCGATTGAATTAAAGTCAGCTGTTCACAAGCCGGCTTTTAGAGCATTTAACCGATTCGTGACGGACGGTCAATTTTGACCGGGTAAGGTTTTTAATTTTTAGCGCCTTCATTTTTAAACCAAATGTCGTCTCGTTTTATTCCAGATCCTTCCTACATATATGCCAAGTTTTGCAAATAGGTGACAGGTCGATAGGTTAAACCGGCTTCACTTGAGAGGTAAATACAATGTCAACATCTTTAAATTCTGAAACCTCTGGGGACAACAGGTATAAATCAGTGAAAAAATGTTTTTAAAAATTATTTGTTTTTATGAAAAGTGTGCATTTATATGTCAACTTTATGCTAATGTTATGTTCAGTGTAAAAAGTTTATGTTTACTGCTCTTTTTTGGTCTTTTTTCTGCCCGGTCAAAATTTAACGTCTCAGACCAGGTCAATTTTGACCGCCTGGTCGAAATGCCGGTTTTTAGGCACACACTGTGCAGTATACACCCTACCCCAATATAGTATATTTACAAACACACCCTCCTGTATAGTATATATATACACCCCACCCCCTGTATGGTATATATATACACCCCCCTCCCTGTAAAGTATACACACACCCCCCTGTGTGTAGCATATATACACCCCCCTTGTATAGTACATATACACCCCCCATTTAGTATATACACCGCCCCATATAGTATATATATACCGCCTTGTATAGTAAATATACCCCCCCACCCTGTATAGTATATATAAACCAAAAAAATGTGTTAAACAAATATAAATATAAATTCAATTGATATGACACCATCAACACTAGAAATCAAAACAGGTTTTTCAAAAGTTAAGGAGTACATTTTAACATAACAGGCTGATTGGTTAGATTTTTGACTTATTTCTTGGATATTGCATGCGTTTTAAAATAATCTTGGGTTTAGTAAAACCAGGAGTTTAAGCTTTAATCTTGATATCCACCATTCTAAAGTTTTCAGCTATGGCTACATATTAGAAACTAAAACATTGTTGTTCTTCTCAACAGCCTAACAAGAAGATGAGTTTATTTATGCAGAGTCTAAAACTAAAGAATGTGAGAATTTTAAGTTGCAGGTTAAAAGTTCTGTAAAATAATGAATAACTACTTAAATATTAAACTTTCTCAATTTTAAATTTCAATTTCCCAGGAAAAATCTTAACTATCAGAGAAACGGATTTACAGAAAATTATTACATAGGTATCGGTAATTTGCTGTTTTTTAAATTTTAAATTATTTACGTGACGGAAAACAAAACATAACTGCAGTTACAACCGTATTTTGGGTTTACGTGCAAACATTAATTAATCTAAAACGTAAAATTTATTAAATCAAGGTTTTTACTTTTAAATATATCGTAATTAGTGGAATGCCGCTTACCACTGAATGATGATAGACAAATAGGGATTGCGGGATTTCAAGATTTTAACCCTGTGTTTAAATTTTAACTCTTTGATTTTGGAGAGTTAAATATTTAACCACAGGGTTAAATATTTAACCACAGGGTTAAATATTTAACCTCACGGTTAAAGTTCAGGTTTAAATTAAGTCAGAACTGGCATTTAACCATGAACTTAAAATTTAAGTCAAAACTTTTCGTTCTTTAGTTTTAGACTCAGTTTTACTTTTTTGAGATATTTATCATTTTCTTTTTTTAATGACAAGGAATTTAATTAAATGTTTGCCTGTGTATCTGGACAGTGATTATTTAACTTTTATTTTAAAAACTTCAATAGATTTACATTCCCTATGAATTCAAAACAAAAATAATTCTTTTTCTGGTAGATTTTGGTGGGATAATTAAATTTGTGTTTCTTAATTTTAAATTTATATATATTGATATGTTTCAGGTATTCCAGGTGTACCAGGGTGCTCTATACTTGGGTAAGCAGAGCTTGGATATATAATTTATTATTCAATAAAAAAAAAGAGATAAACATCCTCATACACAATGTTTCATTGACCAATTGTCATGGACCAGTGAGCTCTGTTCTCGACTGAAGAACATTCTAGTATTTTCAGGAAAGAGTTGGCGGATTAGTGTTATTTGAATTTTAAAAAAATACCAATTCATTAGAAACTCTTTATATCTTTCAACAAAAGAACAGAAATTCTCAACAAATGCCGACACCGAGATATAGAGCTTCTGATGAATTGGTATTTTTTTTTTAATTAAAAAATTTATATTACCAAAAGAAAAACCTATCTTCAGAGGTACTTCTTAAGAATATTAACACAAAGCATAGAAATCTTCTTATTTTGAGCTGCTAAAAAGTTTGTTGGGTTGGGCAAGATTAAATCAATGGCAGATGCCTTGCAGCATCTCAAGATTGCCAAAGTTTATAAAAATATCCAATCTGTATAAATGGGTTTGTATTTCTAATCAACAGATGACAATAGAGACAACATTATCTCTATAATAAACCTATTTCCGTCCAATATATTTCTGCTAAATTGAATTGTCAGTTAAAAATAGATTTAATGATCAGGACCACTTGTATAAAATTAAACTTTTCAATTTATCAGCCAGCTATATATTTTAGGACTAATGTGAAAGGATAATTCTCATCCCAAAATTTATAATTTTCTATCTATTAAATGAGAACATTTTTGTTTTAATATTTTTACCAAAAATACTTAATATTTAAACTTTTCCGGATAAAAAGCTTAAAAGAAATATTTGAGAATATATTAATTTTTGAACAAATCAATGAATTAACCAATCAATCAATTTATCTATTAATCAATCAATCAGGTTTTGAATTGACCAATTAAGTAGTTTATAAATCAATCAAGCAATCATATTATATATGCAATGAATCAACAAATCAATCAATTCACCAATAAATAAATCAATTAACTGACCAATTGATTTATCAAATAATCAATTGATCAATCAAATAAGCAATTGATCAATCAAATAATTTATTAAATAAGCAACCAATCAACTAAAAAATCAACTTTTCGATGAACTAGCAAATCTTTCAATCAATTGATCAATTAATTAATTATTCAATAAAGCAAAAAATCAACCAATCATATAATAAATTGATAACTTAAAATGTTCTAAATTAATCAATTAATAAATCAATAAGCTAACTGATAATTCAGTCAATTAATTGGTGAATAATCTACCTGTCTAAGGACATTTGTTCCTGGAAGAGAGATCTGGCAAGACTTAGAAGAAGCTGATTCTTTTTATATTCAAGAACAGACACCTGGGATACACAATCAAACAATATTTTTATATTCAAGAACAGACACCTGGGATACACAATCAAACAATATTTTTATATTCAAGAACAGACACCTGGGATACACAATCAAACAATATTTTTATATTCAAGAACAGTCACCTGGGATACACAATCAAACAATATTTTTATATTCAAGAACAAACACCTGGGATACACAATCAAACAATATTTTTATATTCAAGAACAAACACCTGAGATACACAATCAAACAATATTTTTATATTCAAGAACAGACACCTGGAATACAAAATCAAACAATATTTTTAAGTTAAAGGTGTCTAGTTAAAGATGTCTAGTTAAATGTGTCTAGTTAAAGGTGTCTAGTTAAATGTGTCTAGTTAAATGTGTCTAGTTTAAGGTGTCTAGGTAAATGTGTCTAGTTAAAGGTGTCTAGTTAAATGTGTCTAGTTGAAGGTGTCTAGATAAAGGTGTCTAGTTAAAGATGTCTAGGTAAATGTGTCTAGTTAAAGGTGTCTATTTGAAGGTGTCTAGTTATAGGTGTCTAGTTAAAGGTGTCTAGTTAAAGATGTCTAGTTAAATGTGTCTAGTTAAAGGTGTCTAGTTAAATGTGTCTAGTTAAATGTGTCTAGTTAAAGGTGTCTAGTTAAAGATGTCTAGTTAAAGGTGTCTAGTTAAAGATGTCTAGTTATGTCTAGTTAAAGGTGTCTAGTTAAATGTGTCTAGTTAAATGTGTCTAGTTAAAGGTGTCTAGTTAAAGAAGTCTAGTTAAATGTATCAAGATAATTATGTCTAGTAAAATGTGTCTATAGTTAAAATTGTCTAGTTAAAGGTGTCTAGTTAAAGGTGTCTAGTTAAATATGTCTACTAAAAGATGTCTAGTTAAAGGCATCTCGTTAAAGGTGTCTAGTTAAAGGTGTCTAGTTAAAGATATCTAGTAAAAGGTGTCTAGTTAAATGTGTCTAGTTTAAGGTGTCTAGTTAAAAGTTTATAGTTAAAGATGCCTATTTAAAGATGTCTAGTTAAAGGTGTCTAGTTAAAGTTGTCTAGTTAAAGATGCCTAATTAAAGATGTCTAGTTAAAGGTGTCTAGTTAAAGGTGTCTAGTTAAAGGTGTCTAGTTAATGGTGTCTAGTTAAAGGCATCTAGTTTGAAGGTGTCTATTTAAAACTGTCTAGTTAAAGGTGTCTAGTTTAATGTGTCTATTTAAAGGTGTCTAGTTAAAGGTGTCTAGTGAAAAGTGTCTAGTTAAAATTGTCAAGTTAAAGGTGTCTAGATAAAGGTGTCTAGTTAAAGATGTCTAGGTAAAGGTGTCTAGTTAAAGGTGTCTAGTTAAAGGTGTCTAGTTAAAGGTGTCTAGTTAAAATTTCTAGTTAAAGGTGTCTAGTTAAAGATGTCTAGTTAAAGGTGTCTAGTTAAAGATGTCTTGTGAAAGATGTCTAGTTAAAGATGTCTTGTGAAAGATGTCTAGTTAAAGGTGTCTAGTTTAAGGTGTCTAGTTAAAGATGTCTAGTTAAAGGTGTCTAGTTAAAGGTGTCTAGTTAAAGGTGTCTAGTTAAAGTTGTCTAGTTAAAGGTGTCTAGTTAAAGGTGTCTAGTTAAAGGTGTCTAGCTAAAGGTGTCTAGTTAAAGATGTCTAGTTAAATGTTTCAAGATAAATATGTCTAGTAAAAGGTGTCTAGTTAAATATGTCTACTAAAAGATGACTATAGTTAAAGGCGTCTCGTTAAAGGTGTCTAGTTAAAGATGTCTAGTTAAAGGTTTCTAGTTAAAGATGTCTAGTTAAAGGTGTCTAGTTTAAGGTGTCTAGTTAAAGGTGTCTAGTTAAAGGTGTCTAGTTAAAGGTGTCTAGTTAAAGGTGTCTGGTTAAAGATGTCTAGTTAAAGGTGTCTAGTTAAAGATGTCTAGTTAAAGGTGTCTAGTTTAAGGTGTTTAGTTAAAGGTGTCTAGTTTAAGGTGTCTAGTTAAAGGTGTCTAGTTAAAGATGTCTAGTTAAAGGTGTCTAGTTAAATTTGTCTAGTTAAAGAAGTCTGGTTAAAGTTGTCTAGTTAAAGGTGTCTAGTCAAAGGTGTCTATTTAAAGGTGTCTAGTTTAGGGTGTCTAGTTAAAGGTGTCTAGTTAAAGATGTCTAGTTAAAGATGTCTAGTTAAAGATATCTAGTTAAAGGTGTCTAGTTAAAGGTGTCTAGTTAAAGATGTCTAGTTAAAGGTGTTTAATTAAAGGTGTCTAGTATAAGGTGTCTAGTTAAAGGTGTCTAGTTAAAGATGTCTAGTTAAAGGTGTCTAGTCAAAGATGTCTAGTTAAAGATGTCTAGTTAAAGGTGTCTAGTTAAAGATATCTAGTTAAAGGTGTCTAGTTAAAGGTTTCTAGTTAAAGATGTCTAGTTAAAGGTGTTTAATTAAAGGTGTCTAGTATAAGGTGTCTAGTTAAAATTGTCTAGTTAAAGATGTCTAGTTTAAGGTGTCTATTTTAATGTGTCTAGTTAACCCTATATAATATCTTTTAATAATGAAATTTAAATAATCTATTTGATATTTTAAATGCATTTGATAAATTAGTAAAATAATTTCTTTCCTTATTTGCTATAATGGAGTATAATGGACGTATTTGAGTGGAAAATATTAAATATTTTGATTCTAGAACTTAAAAAGTTAGATTCAAAATTTATTTAATAAGCAAAGATGTGTCAAACTATCTATCATGTAGCCAAATTCAGGGTTAAAACAGTTTTAGAAATTTATTTATAGTTTTTAGTGGCACTTCCCCTCTGATGGGCCTTTGAAATGTTGTCTACAGTGCCCTGGCAGAAATTTAGAAACATGGCACTGAGCATGAATTTATCAGAAAAATATTAGTTTGAATTTCCTCAAATAATTCTGCATTCTGAATTCCAACTCCACAGAAGCTAAGATACTTCTCGAAAATCTAAATTTAACAAATATCAAATATTTTCTAAATATAAGAATATATTGTAAATACACTAGAATATTGGAAACAGACCCCCCCCCCCTGAAATAGTTCCCGTGTGAAGTAAATACTTATATTTATCATATTTATAGAATTATTTTATTTATTTACAAATAAACCATGAACAAATATATTTCATACTTTAATAAAAACTCAGAAGTCAGAACTCGACAGTCGACTTGATATTAAAAATGGATGTTATTTGAATAAAAATTGTAAATTAATTTTGAATTATATACATTGAATCAAAAGTTTTTATTAAGTCAAATCCTATCTAATGTAAATAAATATACCTCTATATCGCTTTTAGTGAACATATTTCCATTCTGTTTGTTTACAATCTGTGCCACACCAATGACGTCACCCTGAAGTGACAATTTTCTTATTTTGGCTAGCTAAATAAATTCGCAACTTTGCAAATTAAGAGCAAAATTGTAAATTTTTAAATGAAACAAGAGGAATTTATCCACCATTTTTGACCAAAAAAATTTTATTATAAAATAAATTTTTAAAAAGAGGCTCACTTGAACCGAGTTTCTACCATAAACTCAAATTTTTTAATTGCATTTAAAATTCGGTGATGGTGATGGACCAAACCTCTGTAAAGTAAAAAAAGTAGATGTTAGTTCCACATTATTTGAAAATATATTTCGGTCTGGGTTGACACTCGTCAGTTCTTGAGATTGTTTCTGTCACAAAGATTAAAACAATTTCTTTTCAAAGGTATTTTGTGAACTTAGACATTGTAAACAAAATTCATAATTTGAAATATCAAAGTTCTACTTGGTTTGAAATATCAAAGGTCTACTTGGTTTGAAATATCAAAGGTCTACTTGGTTTGCGAAAAATAAGAAACAAAAGTTTGTGACAAAAAAATCAAATCCTTTCAAAGGAGAATAAATTAATTACAGTGATCATAAAAATGCACACTTACGCTTTGCACATGAATATTAAAAATTGTGTGAAATGTTCCTTATTTAAAAAAAATAGATTATAGATATAAAAACTGAATTTATAAAAAATAGATTATATATTTTAAACTGAATTGATTAAAAAAATAGATTATATAGATATAAAACTGAATTGCTTAAAAACAAGATTATATAGATATAAAACTGAATTGCTTAAAAACAAGATTATATAGATTTAAAACTGAATTGATTAAAAACAAGATCATTTTTATTTTTTTCCACGGGCAATGCCGGGGCCTTCAGCTAGTGATTCTTATAAACATAATTTCAAGTGACCCTCAGTTAGAAGAGTTACATACCAATTACACTATTTAACAATTTTTCCGTTAAAATGATGGAGCTATCCATGTTTTTCTATCCAAAATTAAAAACTTCAAATTTTCTCTTTAAAAGAGAAATGTGTTTTTTGTTGTTTAAATTTGATCAAATTTTTATAAACTTTTATCTAATATTATAAGATAAAATTTAACTAGAAAATTAATGTTGTGCTTATCTATTGGAATTGCAATAAAATGTAAAGAAGAGCAATTCTATCATAAAAGAAGTGTCCTCAATGTTTTTAAACTTTTTGGAAAAGATCTAAACCCGGATTCAATTTAGTTTAGTCTTTAGTTGGATGCAATGCTGCAGACCCAAATCTAATATATAAAAACAGGGCTTGCAAAAAGTTTTGTAAAAAGATTCAATATTGGATATTTTAGTTTGAATAGTTGTAATATTTGCCATCGGCAGTTGTATTGAAGTAGGTCTTCAAGTGAATGTAAAGTGAATGTAAAGTGAATGTAAAGTGAATGTAAAGTGAATGTAAAGTGAATGTAAAGTGAATGTAAAGTGAAATTAAAGTGAAATTAAAGTGAATGTAAAGTGAATGTAAACCTAATTTCAAATGATTCCTGAATTGAAAAAAAGATTATTCCGGAAAAATGATAATTTAGATTCTCTAAAACTCAATTGCGGACAAAAGTTAAAAGGGTATCATTGAGAATCAGAAATGCCGCTTTAAAAATGTAGGGTACTTGAAATGACATTTACACTCCACCTCCGTTCCATGTAGCTGCAATTTTTATTCAAATATACATATTTTAATTCATTTATAAATCTATTATAATTTCCTTTAAATTTAGATAAGTATTACTACAAAGATTGTCTTATTTTGCTGGTTGCCAAGATACAAACAAAAAACAGAAAAGGTAAATATATGAATAAAAGCTTATCTTGTTATCTTTATTCGTATCAAATATAAGAAGCAAATCAGCTTAATTTTTGTGAATAGATAATCAAGATTGACAGGCCCAGATATAGTAAATGCCGTACTCTGAAAACTTTGTCCCAAACTGTGTCAGTCCAGGTAGAAACCGTCCTCTATCTATTAAAAACGATCGTTTGTCAAAACGATTGCTTTTATAAAAATTGTCATTTTGTTGATGATCATTAACAAAAAACCTTTGTTAACGATCGTTAACAACGAACCTTCATTAATGATCGTTTACGACGAACTTTTGTTAATGATCGTTAACAAAGAGAGGAAACGGACCTGTACTTATCATTGAGTAGTTTTTAAGAAAATATCAAAAAGTTTTAGCTCCCCCACATTTTTTAACTTCATGTAAGACGACATTCAATAAAGTTGCATGTAAATTATTACTTCACAAACGATCGTTTTTCCAAATACGATCGTTTTTATATAGTTGGTTGTTTTTTTAATGAGAGTTTTTCAAAACGATCGTTTTTTTCCAAAAACGAAACGATCGTTTTTGAAAACTATTGAAAAAAGAAACAGAAAACGATTAACAACCCTACACACATACTGATCAATGATAGTAGAATATAAAGGATAGATAATCAAGATTAACAGGTTCACATACTGATTAAGGATAGTAGAATATAAAGGATAGATAATCAAGATTAACAGGTTCACATACTGATCAAGGGTAGTAGAATATAAAGGATAAATAATCAAGATTAACAGGTTCACATACTAATAAAGGATAGCAGAATATAAAGGATAGATAATCAAGATTAACAGGTTCACATACTGATCAAGGATAGTAGAATATAAAAAATATTATCCCTAGTTTAAACTTGTTATTCCTGGGTTAAACTTGTTATCTCTGGGTTAAACTTGTTATCCCTGGGTTAAACTTGTTATCCTTGGATTAAACTTGTTATCCCTGGGTTAAACTTGTTATCCCTTGGTTAAAGGTCTAGTAAAACATGTACACTACTGTACATTGTAAAAATCGGGTGTCACAAATATAAATAAAAGGAATTAAAAACATATCTTTTCGGATACAAAATCCACAGCAAATCAAAGAACGATAAGTTTATATGTTTAAATCTAACAATAATGCAGTAATTTGAACTAATATTAAAGTACCCCCCACTCTCACAAAATATATTTCGTATTTTAAAATTATTATTCCTGTAAATGTACTTAAGGCAGCCGGCCATATTAATGTCACAATAATATGAAAATATATTTTAAATACAATTATTATTTTAGACTTTTTGTTATTTCAAATATGGTAAAGATCCATAATATTGTATAATTTTACGTGAATTATTTGTTGTTAAAAAGCAAAAATAGTTTCGCCAGTAGCTTTAAAGGGAGTGTTTGCGAAAAATTGAATGGGGTGTACGGCAAAAAATAATCGTTTTTGATCGCTATACTAATCAATTACTTCTATCTGTTAAGCAAAATGGGTCTGTTTACACTGCACAATTAATAGGTTACAATAATATGAAAATATATTTGAAATACAATAATTATAATTTTAGACTTGTGTTATTTCAAATATAGTAGAGATCCATAATATTGTATAATTTTACATGAATTATTTGTTGTTAAAAAGCAAAAATATTTTCGCCAGTAGCTTTAAAGGGAGTGTTTGCGAAAAATTAAATGGGGTATACGGCGAAAAATAATCGTTTTTGATTGCAATACTAATCTTACTTCTATCTGTTGGGTCTATAAGGAGAAAATTGTTAAAAACGACTTGTACTGAAGAACGTAGCGTCCACCCAAATTCAGAAAGTTGCAATATAGGACTCGAATCGTAAAAAAATCAATTTAATTTCAAGCAAATCATTCAGATATTAAAACCTACTCATCGATGATTTTTTGACGCATTCGTATATAGTTATTCTTTCATTATATGTTATATTCCTTTTGTATACAATGCGCTTAAAAAGCCGAAATAATTGGCCGCCAAATGTCTCTGCTCTCGATGCTTTAAATGAATATGTGGCAGAGACACCTAGCGGAATAAAGTCGTTTTAAGTGCATCGTTAGAAATGTGTACCCATTCTTGAGTTTTTATTTTCCCTAAAAGATTAGAATTGAGAAAAGAATCCACCAGCTTGTTTTGAAATGTATTAATCCCTCAAAACTTTCTTCCTGTTGAATTCAGACCAACATGATAAATTATTGAAATTCAAGCTAACCTTGATATTGGCAGTATCATCCATTTTACAACCTTATTCTATCCAACCACTGCTATCCGGCCTCAAACCTTTCAAATATAGAAAAATAGAAACAAAGGAACTACATCTTTGCCACAAACTCTAGTTTTCAAATCCCTTTATCTTTGCAACCTGATTGTGTAAACTTTTTATATTTCAAACATAGATTATAATTAGATCTAACAGAATTCATAGTTTGAAATTTCTAAGATCTACGACATTGGGTTGCAAAGATTTAAGAATCTAAAAATCAGAGTTTGTGGTAAACTATGAATTTTGGTAGATCAAATAGTCTAAGTTTGAAATATGAAAGGTTTACACTATATAAGATTGCAAAGATGTAGGAAAAAAACTTTCTTTAAAATATTTAGAAATTACAGAAAAATATAGAAAAATTGTATATATATATATATATACATAGAAAAATGCAGAACAGTATAGAAAAATTGTAAATATTTATATTTAGAAAAATACAGAAAAATATAGAAAAATTGTAAATATATATATAAAAAACAAGGATACAAATAGACGAATAATTTTTTTTTGGTTAAATGTCGTTTAAAGAGATGATATTTGAAAAGAAATTGTAAAGATGCTTTTCGAAAATGCATATACATATATATATATATGTATAATTAAATGTAAATCTGTTTTTTGATTGAATAATAAATAAATATATATATATAGAAGACAACCCCATCTCCCCTCCAACAAAGCCCGAGTCTACATGCAAGGAAATGATTTATTATTTGAATAATTTCTCTATCTCTATATAATGTTTAATGCAGTATATTATAATGCATAATATATGTAAACGATTATCTATTACAACGACATAATAATAAATATTGTAAGTATTATATTTATCAGATTTCATACCATTAGGACGAGATTCTAAATGACCACCATAATAAGGAATTTGAGTTCTTTTTTCTTTAATCTTTTTATTCGAATTTGGAGGGAAATATTTTCTGTAATTTTCAGGAAATTATAAAATTCTTAGAGACGTTTTTAGTAACAACTGATTTTTATACTTTTGAATCTTTATCGTTGCAACGTAATGTCAATATTTATGGCTGTGAGACACTCCTCTATGCCGAGTCATTAGCGCGTGATCCAATCAGGGTTTAGACATGTGTTTGTTGTCTGTTCTGAACCATTTGAAATAGTATGGCAGTAACATCTATCTTTTTATCTATCTCATTATCCAATCAGAGTTATGAATCCTTCAATTTGTGCTATCAGTTAATGGAAAAATTTACTTCTACTGAATCTATAGTGAAAATGTAAATTTTGCTGGATTAAAAAATTAAAAAATAGACATTTTAAAAGGTTCCACGATTAGATTAAAAATGTGTTGGGATTAGAAAATGTCAGTGATTGAAACAAGCATTCATTCCTTTGTTATTGTACAAACCAGTTCAAAACTAGTTCCTATCTTGCCTACTATTGGAATTTAAAAAGAACTGCCCGATATTTCAGGCAATCTGCCTGAATACCAATGTATTCTTTGCCAAAAGAAATGTTTGTCCGCATGATTCACTTTAACTTTTTTTTAGCTCTTAGCTCATGACAGAAAAGAAGCAGATTGCACAACTTTTGCAAAGAAATTTTGCACAAACTACTTCAAAGGGATTATGATAATTCTAAGTTCTTCTCAAATGCCAACCATATTTGAAAAATTAGAATTTCTCTTTGAAATGGTTTGTAGAACTTTTCAAAAATGTTTGATTTTTTTCACAATTAAGACATCCAATGAATTAGCTGTTGTAACAAGTTGGCAAGACACTAAGGTTTTTGACCTCAAACCTTTAGGAATACATTTGTCAGGCGAAATATTGCGAGAACATTTGTTCTTATATCAAGATTCTGTTAATTAATGTGTTTTTTTACTTCAGAGTAATACCTATAAATAATAAACATGAGCTACGTAATATGATTAAAACATGCATTGCAATTAGATTAACTATGTTTATATTGATCCATGTTAATCCTTTAAATATGTACGTTCAACTTAAACTACACTGTAAACATGTTTGGAGATAGCTTAACTATGGTATATCTATCCCCGCTAAGCTTACAAATACGTACATTAAACTATAACTGTGCGGTAAATATGTAACATGATTGTGTTAATCATGTGATGTAGATAATGGCATAGGAATTGGAATAGGTCTATTAACTTGAAATTGTAATACATAATTCTCAAATACATTAGTTGATATAGTAACTAATGTATTTGACCTAACCGTAACCATTCCCCTTTTTGATAAACAGGTTGAGGATCATGTTCTAGTTGAGAAATTGATTGTCCACACAGGAGTAGTTGTGAAGATTGTGTCCTAGTTGAGTTATTGATAGTCCACGTCAAAGTAGTCGTGAAGATGGTGTCCTAGTTGAGACATTGATAGTCCACATCAAAGTAGTCATGAAGATTGTGTCCTAGTTAAGACATTGATAGACAATGCCAAAGTAGTCGTGAGGATTGTGTCCTAGTTAAGACATTGATAGACAATGCCAAAGTAGTCGTGAGGATTGTGTCCTAGTTAAGACATTGATAGACAATGCCAAAGTAGTCGTGAAGATTGTGTCCTAGTTAAGACATTGATAGACAATGCCAAAGTAGTCGTGAGGATTGTGTCCTAGTTAAGACATTGATAGTCCATTCCAATGTAGTCGTGAGGATCATGTCCTAGTTCAGGCATGGATTGTTTACAAGACCATGTCCTAGTTGAGGAATTGATAGCTCAAGATTGTGTCCTAGTTGAGGAATTGATAGCTCAAGATTGTGTCCTAGTTGAGACATTGAAAGTTTACAAGACCATGTCCTAGTTGAGGAATTAATAGCTCAAGATTGTGTCCTAGTTGAGGCATTGATAGTGTATGAGATTGTGTCCTAGTTGAGGCATTGATAGTTTACAAGATTGTGTCCTAGTTGAGGAATTAATAGCTCAAGATTGTGTCCTAGTTGAGGCATTGATAGTGTATAGATTGTGTCCTAGTTGAGGCATTGATAGTTTACAAGATTGTGTCCTAGTTGAGGAATTGATAGTTTACAAGATGGTGTCCTAGTTGAGGCATTGATAGTTTACGAGATTGTGTCCTAGTTGAGGCATTGATAGTTTACAAGATTGTGTCCTAGTTGAGGAATTGATAGTTTACAAGATTGTGTCCTAGTTGAGGCATTGATAGGACAAGGTTGTGTTCTAGTTAAGCCATTGATATTTTACAAGATTGTGTCCTAGTTAAGGCAATGATAGTTTACGAGATTGTGTCCTAGTTGAGGCATTGATAGTTTACAAGATTGTGTCCTAGTTGAGGCATTGATAGTTTCCGAGATTGTGTCCTAGTTGAGGCATTGATAGTTTACGAGATTGTGTCCTAGTTGAGGCATTGATAGTTTACAAGATTGTGTCCTAGTTGAGGCATTGATAGTTTCCGAGATTGTGTCCTAGTTGAGGCATTGATAGTTTACGAGATTGTGTCCTAGTTGAGGCATTGATAGTTTATGAGATTGTGTCCTAGTTGAGGCATTGATAGCTGAAGATCGTTATGATATGTTATGAAAAAATCTTGGAATTTTTGTTGTTCAAAGGAGTTTTGACTATTGAGACACTATTGAGAAACATTATGTTTAGTATAATTTGTTTTGAATAAAATGTAAAGTTTGAAAACTGAAATATATATTTATATACTCATATATGGATATATATTTACATATATGTATATATATGTATATACATCTAGAGTTTGTTATCATTGGCTAGTGTATATAGTCCTGTTTGTTTCTAATCAAAACATTTCCACTTTATTGCCAACACTTTATATATCTTCAGGGAACTATTTTCTCAGATCTTGTAAAACTTTGATCAGGTTAATTTTTCAAACTATATTATTACAATATTATAAATAAAATATTATTTTATATGTGGTCGAATGTTGGAGTGGGCCGGGCGAAATTCAATTTAGAATGGGAAAAGAAGGTCACATAACAAATTTTTAGTTTTTGTTTGTTTCTCACTTTGTAATGTAATGATAAGCTATAGTGAATAGTGATATGTCACAGATAAATAGTTTTTAACAGTAAAAAAACAACTTTAAAAACTCCAGAATCAAAGTGAATGTCTACCATTAAAATATTTAAGTTGCTACGTTTGAGTATTGGATTTTTTTATAATCAGTAAACAGCCATTACTGTTTTATAATGCAGGGGCAATAAAGTTCAAAATCATGCCATGTCTGATTATATTGTACAAGTAGAAAATCAAAATGTACAAAACAATTCACAAAAAATTGAAGTTTTACGACATATTTAAAATTTTTCCACAAAAATAAATTTTACCACAAGTATCATTTTTACAATATAAAAAAACGTCTGAGTGTATTTTTCCAATACGCATCAAGAACAACAATTTTTTGTGGCAAATGATCCCAGATAAGGTTTATCGGGTAGAAATTGAAAATATGTTTTCTGCTTTTGAGTTTTAGAAATCCATTTATGTTAACAGAAAAATGCACGAAATTTAGAGCTTTACAATAAAAAAATAAAAATGGCGGCCTGAGAAGTGTCACTTAAACATTAAAACACTACTAAGGTTTCGAAAGTCTAATTACGAATATAGTTTGTGCGTGTTCTCTGCTCACCTGATGGTTAAGAATAGGTAGACATGCAACACTCTTAGTTCTGTATCCTGTTTTTTCATCTGTGCTTTTATCAAACCATTCACACTAAAAAAAAAACAAATTCTGGAAGGCATAAATAGTACAATTTTTTTGGATTAAGGTAATTGTCTTAACTCCCCCCCTTCCCCCCAAAAAACTGATGAAAAAAATGGAATTGTCCCGATCTCTGAAGAAAAGAGATAGGGGATCAGATTACTGTTGTAATCATGCTTTATCGATTTATAATAATCTCTCTGATCAGAAAAAAGAAAAACTTTGATTTTCTTTGAAATCCGAGCAAAAAGGTTATAAATGTCTAATAACCTGATAGGCATCTTCTAAGTTGATGAGCTTTCTTGTGCTGGCCACACGCCCTGCCACACCTACTCCCCACTCCAGGCGCATTGTACTTGCTGTAGCCTAAAAATTATTTATTAAAGACGCCCTGCCACACCTACTCCCCACTCCAGGCGCATTGTACTTGCTGTAACCTAAAACTATTTATTAAAGACGCCCTGCCACACCTACTCCCCAATCCAGGCGCATTGTACTTGCTGTAGCCTAAAAACTATTTATTTGTTTATTGAAGACTCCCTGCCACACCTACTCCCCAATCCAGGCGCATTGTACTTGCTGTAGCCTAAAAACTATTTAGTAAAGACGCCCTGACACACCTAATCCCCACTCCAGGCGCATAGTACTTGCTGCAGCCTAAAAACTATTTAGTAAAGACGCCCTGACACACCTACTCCCAACTCCAGGCGCATTGTACTTGCTGTAGCCTAAAAACTATTTATTAAAGACGCTCTGACACACCTAATCACCACTCCAGGCGCATTGTACTTGCTGTAGCCTAAAAACTATTTGTTAAAGACGCTCTGACACACCTAATCACCACACCAGGCGCATTGCACTTGCTGTAGCGTAAAGATAATTATTAAAAACTTGTACAGTATGAAGTTTCTTTCTTTATTCTTTACAAATTAGACAATGGTTAATGGAAAAGGCAGTTTACAAATTTTAGGAATGTCTTCTGTTAACACCCTAAAATCTAAAGTCCTAATTTACAATCAACTTGATAAATGAACACATTTTTAGGGTTTCATGTTCTGTAAAATACTATAAACTCTTTTGGAAAATGCAATTATAATTAACTTGAAAGCCAAACTTTCTTCAACAGTAAAGAATTTTAGTTTAAAAAAGGAAAAAAAGCTTTCTGATCAAGGGTGGGTAAATACGTAGTTTAAGTTTGCACATTATGTTTTAGAATAAACTCTTACCTTTACCATAGACTCCTCCAAATCTGAAAATAAAATTGAATTAGTAAAATCAATTTGATTTAGATTAGGTGAACAAATTAAGAGTTAATATAGTTCATTCACTGTATTTAAAAGGAAATATATCTAGGTAACCCTGTATTCAAAAAGGAAATATATCTAGGTAACACTGTATTTCAAAGGGTAATATATCTAGGTAACCCTGTATTTAAAAAGGAAATATATCTAGGTAACCCTGTATTCAAAAAGGAAATATATCTAGGTAACCCTGTATTTAAAAGGGTAATATATCTAATAATTGATAACCCTGTATATGTATTACCTGACTGTGTATTAACATCGAATAACTTTGCTTCAAGAAACTGGTTACCGTTCAAGGTTCTGGCCAGGAATAGGGAACATCTACAACAACATCTTTTTTTTAAAAAAAGGACGTAGGCTTACATTTTTTTTTGTTTGCAGGGGGGTGGGGCTTATCACCCATTGGGGCCTGAAAAACCCCTGGAAATCATTGATTTTAATTTTGGCTTTAATAAGTTTGCATAAGTTATTTCATTATGCACTTTTTGTTCTCTATACATTGGACAAAGATATAAAAAAGACATATCAGCGCAATTTTACCACTCGTCTTGAAAAGTCGTTGAAAAATGTTGAATGTTAAAAACTGACCCAAAACGAGACCCATTTTAGTTGTAATGTAAAAATAAAGGGATTAGAGAAACTCTGCAGAGTTTGAGGCAATGTGATTATTTTCTTTTCGATTTATCCATATTTTTCATCATATTAGTAAAAAAAGGATAAATAAATATTTATATAGTAAACTGGTCAGCGATGTAGAAAAGCAAACGATAATGCTTATAAGTTATTGTTGAATGAAGCTTGAACAAATTGTAAAATTATCGTTGGTTCAATTCACATAAAGGGGATTTCCAAGAAAACATGAAGATTAAAGGGGCTCTGATCTATAATCAATAGAGAGTGACAGCCAGATTACAATGGTTATAATTAAAAAATCATTTGCAGCAAACATTTTTAATTTCTGAAATAAAGCTTTTACTTAAATTCAATTTTCACAAATGTTTGAAAAGTTTAATTTGGAAAAAAACGAATTTAAAGTATTGTGTTATTTTAAATTTTGAAGGGCTTAAGACCCTAAAGTTTGATAAATATAATTCAAGTATACTACTTTACAGTCGACCTTTGGTTTTCATTCTACAGTGAAAGACATATATGATATGATACAATCTTTGTGACAAAAACAATCTCAAGGAATAATAATTGACTTTAAACATTTTTTTTAAAAGTGAATATTTGCAATAATTTCCATCTCATGATCTGAGTTCGTTTCCCCTATGTTTTTCATATCGATTTTGGTGTTTATTTTTGTTATTATCTAAGTTTGTTTTAATCTAAAAAGCACACTTAATTGTTTAAACTGTACTTGTAATATGTTCTAAACATTTCAAGAAATAACATTGTAATTGCACATTGTATACAGTTTAAAGTGTATGTACTGTACATTTTAACCCTATCCCTGCTGGGGTACTTGAAAACCAGGATATGCTGGGGGGGGGGATGTACTATACATTTTAGGAAATATACATTGTACAGCACATTGTATCCAGACTAAAGTGTATGCACTGTACATTCTAAGAAATATACATTGTACAGCACATTGTATTCAGACTAAAATGTATGTACTGTACATTTTAAGAAATATATCCATTGCACAACACATTGCATACAGACTACAGTGTAAATGTACTATTGCATTTTATGTAAGATGAATTGTACAGCTAAATTTGTTAGCTGTACAATGTACAATATATTATGCACTGTATGTAGAACTACATATGCATAAGATATTGTTTTAAATGTATTTCGTCTATTGTAGATTAAGCATTTTCTTTAAATTAAATTATAAATCAGGATATAACCTCGTATGCAAAAAAAGAAATATTTTTGTGTTAAAAAAAAATAAGGAAAATCCTATTCTAGGATCAAGTTTTGATTAATTTTGTGATTTAGCATTCAGGAAAAGGGATTTTAAAGAATATTTAAACCTTAAGTGCAGGATTAAGTCTGAGATTAACTTTAGGATTAATGCTAAATTTCATTTTAGGATTAAATCTTGGATCATTTCAGGTTTAGATGTCTCACATCATTTCAGAAGTAAATTTTTAATTAAGTCTAAAATTAATTCAGGATTAAGTCTAGGATTAAGTGGAAGGTAAGTCTAAGTTTTAGTCTGAGGAAGGCTTTAGGATTAAGTCTAAGATTATATTCCAAATTTATTCTAAGATTAGATGAAGTCAAGCATCAAGTCTGAATTATAGCTACCTTTCTGCTACTGTCAGGTTTAGGATTAAGTTTAAAATTATGTCAAGAATTAAGTCAAGGATTAAGTCAAGGATTAATGTTACCTCTCTAGGATTAAGTTTAAGATTAAGTCAAGGATTAAGTCTGAATTAATTGTACCTGTGTGCTCCAGTCAGGTTTCCTACATTAATCAAGATCTTGTGACAGAGAACATTTATATCCAACTCATTACTAATATCCAGGATTAGGTCCAGTAATATCCGGGACCTGGATACATAGATAGATATCAGATACTGGATATTGAATACTGTAAATTAAAGATAAATAAATAGATAGATGGATATATAGTTATAAGATACTAAATACTGGATACTGGATACTGGATAATGGATACTGGATATTGTGTAAATTATAGAAAGATAAATAGGAAGATAGATAATAGATCCAAGATACTGGATACTACTTGCTAATAACAAGAAACCGGATACTGCATACTGAATTCTACATACTGGATACTGGAAACTGGATACTGGATAATGATATTTGATACTGGATACTAAATACTAGATAATGGAGACATTACATGGTATATTAACCATGTGTAATTAATGATGTCTTGCAATACCATTAGTATTATGTTAAAATGGTAAATCTTCTTTAACATAAAGGATGATAAGTATAACGTTAGATGAAGGGGGAGGAGGTATTTATCATTATTCCAGAGCTAGGCACAATAATACATTTTTCATAAAGATATTTTCCCAATAGCGACTTCCCAAAGGACAATTTCTCAAGTGGTAACTTCCCAAAGCTGTTCTTTCCTAAAAATATCGATCTCAATTTTATTAATGGCATTAACGGAATGAATTTATAGAAATTTTTAATTTAAATTTGTTGGGTGAGCACACTTATAAAATCAAATATATCTATATTTAAAAAGGTGCTATAACTGATTTNACAAGGAACCCTGATAAATTAAATATTTATTGTTAACTTTAATTAGACAAGGAACCCTGATAAATGAATATATATTGTTAACTTTAGTTAAACAAGGAACCCTGGTAAATGAATATTGTTAACTTTAGTTAGACAAGGAACCCTGGTAAATGAATATGTATTGTTAACTTTAGTTAGACAAGGAACCCTGATAAATAAATATATATTGTTAACTTTAGTTAGACAAGGAACCCTGATAAATAAATATGTATTGTTAACTTTAGTTAGACAAGGAACCCTGACAAATGAATATATATTGTTAACTTTAGTTAGACAAAGATCCCTGACAAATGAATATATATTGTTAACTATAGTTAGACAAGGATCCCTGACAAATGAATATATATTGTTAACCTTAGTTAGACAAGGATCCCTGACAAATGAATATATATTGCTAACCTTAGTTAGACAAGGATCCCTGACAAATGAATATATATTGTTAACCTTAGTTAGACAAGGATCCCTGACAAATGAATATATATTGTTAACTATAGTTAGACAAGGAACCCTGGTAAATGAATATTGTTAACTTTAGTTAGACAAGGAACCCTGGTAAATATAAATAACTTGTTAACTTTTGTTAGACAAGGATCCCTGATAAATGAATATATATTGTTAACTTTAGTTAGACAAGGAACCCTGATAAATAAATATATATTGTTAACTTTAGTTAGACAAGGATTCCTGACAAATGAATATATATTGTTAAAATGCTTTAGCTCAATAAGAAACCCTGCTAGAAATTAAGGTCTCAGGAAAATCCAAAAGATTAACTTTATTTTAATTAATTCTATGGAGACAGTTTCGATTTAAGTTTGAATAAATTTATTTTTAAAGTTCAAGGTTGTGTAGATACTTTACATAAAAAGAGGGTGACTCCAACCCCAACCTTCAATTTTTTAATTGTAAACAGACAAATTAAATTTGGTTTTTTTTTTCCATTTTGCCTCCCCCTTCCCCCAAAAAACCTATGTATGTCTCAAGTTTATAAATATGTTTTAAAATATGATATTTTCTATGTTTTTGGCTTGGGACAAATATATATATTTGATATTTGATTTGATGTAGGGGCTGAAATTAAATTGTTTAAAAAAGTTATGATGATATTTCAGCTCAATGCATTTCTTAATTTACATATTATTATAAATCCTCAACTTTGCAAGTCACTTTTATTAAGTGTTACGTTTACAATCCCTTTAATACTAAATTGGTTCCAATTGCAACTCATCAATCATGATTTCAGATATTAGCGATTTGATTGTTATCTTCATCCCAAAAAAAACATCATGATTTTGATAGGTTACCTTTTTTCTGTTCCCAGTTTGTCTTTCAGTTTGTTTAAATACGTTTCATCCTGTTCTGTCAACCAATCCTTTGCAAGAAGAATAATATAAATAAAAGGTTTAAATACATTTCATCCTGTTTTGTCTACCAATCCTTTGCAAGAAGAATAATATAAATTAAAGGTTTAAATAGGTTTCATCCTGTTCTGTCAATCAATCCTTTGCAAGTATAATAATATAAGTTAAAGGTTTTAATGCATTTCGCACCGTAAAAAAAAACCAATTTTATTTGAAACAAATCATTCAGATATTACAACCTAAAATCATCAATTATTTTTCGACGCATTCGTATATAGTCAAAATTAAAGATTCGTTTTGTATACAATGCACTTAAAACGCCAAAATAGTTGGCCGCCAGATGTCTCAACTCTCGATGCTTTGAATGATTATACAGGACAGAGACACCTAGTGGAAAAAGTCGTTTTAAGTGCATTGTATAAAAAAACTAATATTATGAAATATTAACAATATACAAATGCGTAGAAAATAATCGATGACTTTTAGGTTGTAATATCTGAATGATATGTTTGAAATTAAATTGATTTTTTTAGGATACAAGTCGTATATTGCAATTGCCGTAGCATACACCTTTCATTTTTCTGGAAAACCTCCTTTTAAAAAGTCCATCATGAGGGAAGAAATGCTAATCACACTTACGGACAATATGTTAAAGATAAAGCAATTTGTGAGATACTGTCATTGTCGTAAATATATATGTATGTAATGAAGACGACTTTCAATTTCAACAAGGATGGATACACATAAACCTAGAAAGAAAAAGAAGCTGTAAATTAACAGCTTCTCATTGTTTACTTCTATACTTGTTAGAAATCAAAACTTAAAGTCATCTTCATTGTATTGATATAAACTCTGACCATTGTACCGTGGTACGTGGTACATAGCCGAACCAGAAATAGTAAAATTTACAAAGGAACTGATTACTTCCCTAAAACTTTCATTTTCTAATCCATTTTTAATTCCAACTGTTGATATAGTAGACTGTAGATCCCAGAGTAAAGAGTTTAAAATATCAGAGGTTTAAGTTCAAAAAATTTTTTAAAACCCAGCCTTTGGGAAATCGGATTAGTAACTGACAATTTGTTTTCACTCTTTTTTACTTAAAAAAAAAAATATCTAACCTGGAGAAGATCCGGTCGGTTCGCCAGATACTTTGTTATTTCCTGGGCTAATTGACCAGAACCACCCTTTAAAAGTATATCAATTTTATTTTTTAATAAAATAATTTTTTTCTTCAATTTTTAAGAAAGTTATGACACCGTTGAATCCCTGATATTTACATTGCAAGCCTAAAACCAGGGCTTTAATGTTAGATTGCAACCCTAGGGTTGCAATCTAATTTATTGCAAATTTTTCTGCCAAGAAGTTGCGCATTTACAATTCCAAAAACATTAATTTAGATTTGATTTCTAAACTCAAAAATAATAAAACTAAATAGATTTTACAGTTTATGTAAATTAAAATATTATATTTTGTTTAGACGTGGAAAAATCTCCAAAAAATTTAGAAAAAATTACATATCTCTTCATTCACGTGAGGCAAAAAGGATCCATATATTGCATGGTACCTTAAAAATATATAATATGACCACTTGGTCCAATAGTTGCATTTGACAAGGTGGGCTGAGCCAAAAACTTTAGAATGGGATATCCTTAATCCCGATCGGTCAATTAATCTGGAGATTAATAACAAGAGTAGATCAAGCATTGATTTCGATATCCACCATTCTAAAGTTTTCAGCTCTGGATACATCATTCATATGGGACTTAACACTAAACAGAGCGGAGGGTGGGGTGGGCGTTAGGCGCCCCCTCCTGTAGTTTTTTTTGTCCTAGCACCCTCCCTGGCACCCAAATTATTGGTCTAATTTTTTTTCTTTGTGCTGGCCATGAAAAATTGGGCTATGAACATGCATTTCAACCCTTTGCTTATTCTCTATGGCCTTTTTCTAAAAGGGCGCCAAACGCCCCCCCCCCCCCAAAACCCGAACTAACCAGAGTGAGCAGCATTCGGTTTCTTCTATTTGAAATCAAACGTGCTTTAGTCTATAATTCAACAATCTTTTAACTTACGGATTTGTTTTTTCGATGCTTCTTCATTCAAAATGCATATGCCGACAATAAAAGTTTAAAGAAAAAATGCAAAAGAATTATGTTTATTGGATCAAATTGTGATCGAAAGTCACAGCTTTCTGACAGAAACGTTAAATTCACGTGTCCAGGCTATAACATAGATTCAGACCTCCCCCAGCCTTTATAGGGTTAAAAATACTGTAATCATAATTTCAGCTAACCCTCCATTGAAAGAGTGGTCGGATTGACAACGGTAACCAATTAACCCTATTCCTGCTTTTATACATAACTCAAAAAGTATTGGTCTGAGGCTGTTGAAATTTTCTGACTTTTCCTACATACCCAAAGCCCTCCCTTTAGGCCTAAAACTGGACTTTAATACTAACTGCCTGAGTCCTCATGCACACTGCCTGAATGACTGCTTTTTCCTGTAACAAACTAAATCTATGTTTTGACCCACTTCCACTTGTCAGATTTTGATAAAATTGAGCTTTTTGGAAAGCCTTTGACATAAGGAAACGAATTGCACAAGTTTTGCTAAAAAAATTGCAAATTTTTTGCAAACAACCTGTCTAAGTAAATTTGCACATTTTTAGTTTTTCTTGATTTAAAATCAGGTTATTTAAAGTTTTGCACAAATTTTTGCATATTTGAATTGGCATGGTCAAGGGCTTTTCAAAAATGTATAATTTTTCAATTTTTGGACAAATTTTTTTGCAAACATTTTTAATATATAACTGGATTTTGCGATAAAAAATTCAATTTTTGCAAATTTGCAAATTTTCTTGCAGATTCTAAAAGAAGAGCACAAGAGCTTTCCAATGATGTATCATTTGTCATATTTGGACATCAAACATGGGATTTAGAGTGGGGGGGTCAAATTGACCCTACCCCCCCAGCATATCCTGGTTTTCAAGTACCCCAGCAGAGAAAGGGTTAAGGAATAAAGAGAAGTATTTTTTTTTTTCACTTAAAGAATTCTGATAATTTCATTCCTTGTCTCTGCTCCATAAATCCGCAAGGGACTTTTCTAGAAAAAAACTTTTGTTGAAAATAATAAATTTTTCATCTTTTTCATTCTGGACAAGACAAAAGTTCGGAAGGTACTGTTGTTAATCGGATATACCATTCTTCAATGGAAGGTCACTAACATTCTAACATTTCAAAATTTCTTCACCGACCCACTTTTTAAATATAATTTCCGATATATTTTTAAATTTAATTAGCTGATTTAATGTGGATGTTTTTTCTAATTACATTTTTAATATTTATTGTGCTTATAAATCATGGAGTATCCAATTATAAAAGTTGTTAAAGTTTTGACCATTACAATCTTAATTGTAATTTCTCGAGTTGGAACTATCTAACAAATATCTAGAAATATAAACTTTGATCAGAAACTTTATTTCAAGAGAATTTCCATTTCAGAACAGAGAGATGAAATTGGAGGGGAAGGTGCTATAACTGATTTTTGTTTTTGTTTGGAGTTCCGATCATAACTCGTAAACCCCTGGACTAATTTGTTTCAAACTTGAACTTGGAACTCGGTATGTTGTTAGCGCGCCTGGTTCAAATATTCTAAATTGAGTTGATTTTTTAGAGAAAATTCCAGGGAAAACTGTATTGCAAAGCTAGCATAACTTGTATTGTAATTCTTTCTTATTTTGTATAATTGTAAAGTATGCCTCCTAATAGTATATGTATCTTTGATTCTTATATAATCTGTACAAGTGTACCATGTAATAAATATAATAATTATATGTATATAAATATTATTTGATCGTTCTGTAATATTTCCAGAAAATTCCTAAAATTATTATAAAAAAAATGCTCCAGTTAGTTTGTGTAAGACAGACCCCTGACACATGTTGTCTTATAAAAATTCTTTTAACATCTATATATTTTTTAGAATTAAGAATATTTTTGACAAATATTGTAGAGAAATATACATGCTCTCCATAGAATCGTTTTCATATAAGAAGATAAGTGCCAACATACAAGAGGAAGAGAGGGTGGCTAAAATGTGGAAAATCTAAAAATTTTATTTTAAATATCTCATATTTGACTTGTCTTGATGTCGCATAAGTAAAAGATTTTAATTGAAAATATAAGTGAAGCACTTTAGGAAAAAATGAAAATATTATTTTCATCAAATTATTTTTACCTATCCTGTTGCACCTGGTTCTCACCATCTTCCCTTAAAATAAATAAATATTAATCAGTAATTTTTATAAACTGTTTACTTTATACAATTTTGTGTATGCTTTTCAAACAATAATTCATTTTTAGGGACTTTAATTTTAAAGTTAAAACATGAGTTTCTCATTCATTTTTAAAAAGCTTACAGAGTACCATTGTGAATCGAACATACCACTATAATATATTACAAAATGTAATATTTATAAAAACTTAATTTCTCTCCTTTGGCTTCTTTTTTATATCTTACAATTAAAATTAGTTATTCTATGTAAGTCTCCTTGATTTTGGATGAATAAAACTTGTCAACTTCTTATAGTTAGATAATGCACTGTCAAACTTTTTATTGTATATTTTATTCAATATTTTCTAACCTAACCGACACTTATAAATGCACACAACTTGTTAGTTAGACAAGGAACCCTGATAAATTAAATATTTATTGTTAACTTTAATTAGACAAGGAACCCTGATAA